CGCCCCCCTCCGCCACCGCCGCCACCGCCGCCTCCGCCTCCCCCATCGCCCCCGCCACCTAGCCCGCCGTCACCTCCTCCTCCTCGCCCCCCTCCGCCACCGCCGCCACCGCCTCCTCCACCTCCCCCGTCGCCTTCGCCACCTAGCCCGCCGTCACCTCCTCCTCCTAGCCCGCCTCCGCCACCTCCGCCACCGCCTCCTCCTCCTCCCCCGTCGCCCCCACCACCTCTCCCGCCGTCCCCTCCTCCTCCTAGCCCGCCTCCGCCACCTCCGCCACCGCCTCCCCCTCCTCCCCCGTCGCCCCCACCACCCCTCCCGCCGTCACCTCCTCCTCCTCGCCCGCCTCCGCCACCTCCGCCACCGCCTCCCCCTCCTCCCCCGTCGCCCCCACCACCTCTGCCGCCGTCACCTCCTCCTCCTCGCCCCCCTCCGCCACCTCCGCCACCACCTCCCCCTCCTCCCCCGTCGCCCCCACCACCTCTCCCGCCGTCACCTCCTCCCCCTAGCCCGCCTCCGCCACCTCCGCCACCGCCTCCCCCTCCTCCCCCGTCGCCCCCACCACCTCTGCCGCCGTCACCTCCTCCTCCTCGCCCCCCTCCGCCACCTCCGCCACCACCTCCCCCTCCTCCCCCGTCGCCCCCACCACCTCTCCCGCCGTCACCTCCTCCCCCTAGCCCGCCTCCGCCACCTCCGCCACCGCCGCCTCCGCCTCCCCCGTCGCCCAAACCACCTCTCCCGCCGTCACCTCCTCCTCCTAGCCCGCCTCCGCCACCTCCGCCACCACCTCCCCCTCCTCCCCCGTCGCCCCCACCACCTCTGCCGCCGTCACCTCCTCCTCCTCGCCCGCCTCCGCCACCTCCGCCACCGCCTCCCCCTCCTCCCCCGTCGCCCCCACCACCTCTGCCGCCGTCACCTCCTCCTCCTCGCCCCCCTCCGCCACCTCCGCCACCACCTCCCCCTCCTCCCCCGTCGCCCCCACCACCTCTCCCGCCGTCACCTCCTCCCCCTAGCCCGCCTCCGCCACCTCCGCCACCACCTCCCCCTCCTCCCCCGTCGCCCCCACCACCTCTGCCGCCGTCACCTCCTCCTCCTCGCCCCCCTCCGCCACCGCCGCCACCGCCGCCTCCGCCTCCCCCATCGCCCCCGCCACCTAGCCCGCCGTCACCTCCTCCTCCTCGCCCCCCTCCGCCACCGCCGCCACCGCCTCCGCCTCCCCCATCGCCCCCACCACCTAGCCCGCCGTCACCTCCTCCCCCTAGCCCGCCTCCGCCACCTCCGCCACCGCCTCCTCCCCCGTCGCCCCCACCACCTCTCCCGCCGTCCCCTCCTCCTCCTAGCCCGCCTCCGCCACCTCCGCCACCGCCTCCCCCTCCTCCCCCGTCGCCCCCACCACCTCTCCCGCCGTCACCTCCTCCTCCTCGCCCCCCTCCGCCACCGCCGCCACCGCCGCCTCCGCCTCCCCCATCGCCCCCGCCACCCAGCCCGCCGTCACCTCCTCCCCCTAGCCCGCCTCCGCCACCGCCTCCTCCTCCTCCCCCACGGCCCCCGCCGCCCTCACCTCCTCCTCCCAGCCCTCCGCCTCCTCCTCCCCCACGCCCCCCACCGCCCTCACCACCCCCGCCCAGCCCACCTCCACCTCCTCCCAGCCCACCCCCTCCTCCTCCCCCACGTCCCCCACCGCCCTCACCACCCCCGCCCAGCCCACCTCCACCTCCTCCTCCCAGCCAACCCCCTCCTCCTCCCCCACGTCCCCCACCACCCTCACCACCCCCGCCCAGCCCACCTCCACCTCCTCCCAGCCCACCCCCTCCTCCTCCCCCACGTCCCCCACCGCCCTCACCACCCCCGCCCAGCCCACCTCCACCTCCTCCTCCCAGCCCACCTCCACCTCCTCCCCCACTTCCCCCACCGCCCTCACCGCCCCCGCCCAGCCCACCCCCTCCTCCTCCCCCACGTCCCCCGCCGCCTTCACCACCCCCTCCCAGCCCACCCCCTCCTCCTCCTCCTGTTGCCAAGCCGCCCCCTACCGTAAAATCCCCACCACCGCCGCCACCACCACCGCCCCCACGCTCTCCGCCACCTCCCCCTCCATCCTCTCCTCCTCCTTCGCCCCCGCCTCCTCCGCCCCCGCCGCCAAAGAATAACGGCAACAATGGCAATAACGGAAATAGCGGAAACAATGGCAACGGCAAAGGGAACAACGGTAACGGTAACGGAAACAGCGGGCGTTAGGCCCTCGCTTGGTAGCTGTCTAGCCGTTCAGCCATTCGTGTCCGCCATGTACCCATTATCACCCTGGGAAAAGTCTTAACTGGGAGGGGGCCCTGAGTTGAGGAGCGGAAGGCGCTCGCAGACCCCATCCCCCCCGCAGTCTCGAGGCGCCTAACCAGCAGCCAAGCGGCCTGTTGGGAGCGGGATTCGCAGGTCGACTGTTGCCGTACGTGGTTTGCGGGAAGCCACGGGGGTGCGTTGCGGGTTTGGTTTGCTTTCCAGGACTCGCCGCAAGGATCTGCTTAATGAATAATGATATGCTTCGTGGTGTTACACGGCTGCTGCACATGTTTGATGAGCGGTTACGTTTAGTAGTGTGCAAGGGTTTGCATGTAGGTTGGTGCTTGCATTCATGTCGCTCCTACATAGCTTACAGCACTTGGGCGTCGTCATGTGTATGGGTTAGGTTTGGTCGTGTCAAAAGTGTTGGGTGCAGAACATGTTAGGGCCCCCGAGCGAGGGTCATCAGCAGAGAGTTGTAGGACATTCAGTAGGAGCGGTGTTCTTTGTGGAAAGGGGCCCGTACACAGTGTAAGGCCCCCTGCCTGCTGGTCGGGTAGATCCCCAGGGGCTTTGCCAATTCGACGTGTGCTCCCTTCTGCGTGTGCTTTCAATGTTAATGTGGCTGGCGTGCTAGGTAATATCAAACATAGGTAGCACAGTAGCAGGTTGCTTGTTAATTTCTCTCGCCCACTCGCCCCATCAGGGCACGTTGCGTTATGGTTGCGCTGCCACTAGGAGGGTTGTCCAGGCTAGGCAAACCCAACAGCAGGCCACTGGTTGGAAGCCTAGGCTTGCAGGACAAGGAATAGCCGGCGGTTGTTATTATCCCCCGAAACCACGTTTCGCAATTTCCTGGTAGCAAGCAGACAGGTGCTGAAATGGTCAGGGGCATGTTGAGAAAGGCGTTCAAACGCAGGCTGGGCAGATACTGGTAGATAGCTGAACTGTTTATGGGCTTAGAGGTACTTGGGCTGGCGGTAATCCAGCTAGGAATGTTCGTCTAATGGCAGCCGAGAAATGGGGCGGAGACGTGTTACAGACATGTCCTTCCTGCCGTACTATTTGTACGCGTCTTGTCGCCTGCCTTGTCTATCTATTGGTTGACTTGATGATGATGATGATGATGATGATGATGGAGTGAGTGCCGTAAATGTAAAGCGTGTGTGAGTGCTCAATTGTTTTGGGTATAATGCCGTAGCTCTATTTGCAGCGCGGCTTCCCATTGCAGGATGCACTTTTCGTTGTGACGACTTCTGTGCTGGAGGCTACTGTAAAATATCCTAGCTACATGGATGGTTAGGTACATGTGGAAGATGCGCCGTGCTGTATCGACATGCTGGCAAGTATGCAAGGGCACTTGGAAGAGTTACTCCGGGTGCGTGAGCACCACTTGGCTGTAGATCACGCCATTGACCGCTATGCGTTTAAAGGATATGGTGGCAAGCTTTGAATGGATAGTAAGGGTGCGTCTTTCCTTCGCATCAATGGCATCCGTCGGCCCTTCGTTCAGGGTATCGGTCGCTTGCATTAGCCTTTAGACGGACACGATACTGTATGTTATAATGCGGGTTTCCTACTAACCGCCTAATCGTATGGTCTCGGATGCATGCTCGGGTTCAGGGGCCAACCGCACCCGTTGGCTCAGAAAAATATGGCGCCTTAACGAAAACACAAAGAATATGCAATGGTTTTGAACAGGCTTTTCCTAATACCGAGGAATGCTGGCGGTTCCAAAAAGGTGTGCTTTAGCACTGAGGTTCTGTGAAAAAGCGTTCACAGAACCACCTAGCAAGCGTTATGCTGCAAGGCTCCAGTAATAAACGTTTAAATATAGCCTACAAGCACCGGCGAGGAACTAGGGGGGACGTGGTCAGGAAACCGAAATCTTGTGCGCGAGCTGACGCCCAAGCCCTAATAAGGTATAACTTATCGTGAACGCTTTACGTGGTAAAGCAAACGCCCACTGCACCGTTAGTGAACCAGAATGACTTTCACGGCCCTTCATTAGTCATAGCCCCTCATAGCGCCCTCATACCGGGTAGCGAAAAACGTTGGTTACTATAAAACACATCATTGTGTATTGATAGGCCGCTCCAGGCCGGCGCAACTCCCTTCGCAGCGCTCGTGTAGGATCCGGTATTTGAAGGGAATGCCTGATAATGGTGGCACAGCATAATAGAACAGAAAGCCGTAGTACGGTCTGTTGAGCTAAATCGCTTTGTCCGACAGGCACAGCTGTGTGTGATGTCGATGGCTTTTCCATGTCAACGGTTCGCCCCCCAGTAACATTGCAGCTCTGAGCAAAGCATCTACTACTTAGAAGCTTATTTATGACTACCGTTCCATGTGTAGCCTAGACTGCATTAATGAAGTTCATAAACTGGCAGTTAGAGGAGCGAGGGGACGCGCCCTCACGCAACTTAATGTAAGGCATTGTAGCAAACGGTACAATGCCTTGATGGTACTTGACGGTAGACATTGTCACACTTCGCTAGCGCATAGCCGCGGTGAACGACTACCGGTTCTCACCTACTCGGCAGCAGAAAGTAGCGCACCTGCGGAGCGTAGGTCATACCGTTACCATTCATCTGACCATCCGCCAGTACAACATCCTTAGTGATGGCCTTCCAGTGAACTGCCTGGAGGCTTCATCTCGAACACGTACTTCACGTACTAACCGCCGGAACACTTACATAAAGCTGTGAACATGGTCATGAAATGCACCACGGATGCCTCGTTGTTCACCGCACCTAAAAAGCAAACGGTACTTTGAAATGGGAGGACTGCGGGTCCTAGGGTTACTAGCTTTCGCCGTATGCCTTTGCCAAGTACCGGTATTGACGACTACCGCAAGCGCTCCCAAGGTAGCTCTCTATTCCAGCGAGGCACGAAACGTGCTTGATTTACAATGGGACAACGGTCACCAAAACCTTGATCGCCAACTGCGGCAGCTGGGTCTGACACTAGCCGCAGCGACTGATGACCGACTGACCGGGCTAGACGCACCAAGCGCGTACATCATCCCAGCTCAGAATGGGCGTAGTTTCTATTCCACTACACAGAATATGCTCGAGGTGTCATCTTACGTCTCTGCCGGGGGGCTCGTCATCATCTTGGATGCCACTAGCGGCGATGGGCAAGCAACTCGCGAATTTGTTGCTTCCGCTCTTGGCTATACAGGTATTACGGTGTCATAATCAGCCTGAAACCTTTAAGTTTCAACAGTGAGCCACTTACCTTTGCGCGCGCGGCATTTCCGGTGGCCAACCTGCAGTTTACAGTGTCTATGGCGGTAATTATTAGGCGATAATATAATACCACGTATTCGCAGGCAACTGGAAGCTTTGCGAGCGCACCGGGACGTCCGAAAGGGCTCGTCGCCTCAGTCGCCGGTCGCGGGCGCCGATGTTAAGCGAGCATGCGTACTCCTTTCTTAAGGACGGCGACTACGACGACAATGCCTGGCCGCTTATGCTTGAAGATGCACACGTACTGACAACTCTGAACTGGTGTGAACACGAGGACCCGCGTGCGGTCGCCATCCCTCTCTACACGCTCATGGGAGATGACAACAAGGTCGCGGTGCAAGTAAGTCGTCAAGGGTTCAGAAGGGTTGGGCAAGAATAGGCCCTTAAGAAGTCAAAAAAATTATCAGTCCTCGTTCACTCACACCGTGCTTTCCCTTCTTCCCCTTCTCATTATTCCCCTTCATCCTTCCCACCTGCAGGCGTTCATGCGCGCCGGCAGCCCCGGTGCCGTTGTGTGGCTGGGCTACAGCTGGCGGGACGGGCCGCAGGAGCGCTGGGGCCGCCTGCTGCACAAGCTAGTCACCGATTTTACGCTGTTACAGGGTGAGGCAATCAAGGGTTTGCATAAACCAGCTAACCTCGTGCTTTAATGCTAGGAAGTTGGGCTATGGGCGTGGATGCACAGCAAGGCGGGCCAGCTCATACTAGTCTACGACTCTACGTCTTAACATGTAATGCGATGTCGTCGTTAGCCGTACCTAGGTGCCCAGGACCCCACCTGGTGTGCGCATGGCGCTGGTTGGGAGGCTTCCATCTGGTTACTGCTGATACGTTTATAAGCGGACTTTCATCACCTTTAAACACCAAGAATTCCTGCACCAACAAAGCCTTCCTTCCCTCTGCAGCACCCATATCACTCCTTCCCCACCCCCCTTACTTTTCACGCAGACGGTCGCAGCGCTGCCGCGCCCCCTGCCACCCCCTCCCTGGATGACCTCCTCGCCTCCCTCGCCGCCGCCACCGCCGCCACCCCGGACCCTAGTCCCGACAGTGGAGTGGCTGACATAGTCCGGCGGCTCATCCTGGACACCGCAGGTCCCGCAGTCTACCCGCCGCCGCCCTCACCTGACCCGCCATCCCCGCCGCCAACCCCTCCGCCACCACCACCACAACACTCTCTGTCCCCGCCACCTCCCCCCGAAGGCAGGGTCCGCAAACCTCCCAAGTCCCCAAAGGCACCCAAAGCCCCCAAGGCTCCTAAAGCACCCAAAGCGCCCAAAGGTGACAGCCTGCCGCCGCCGCCGCCACGCAATGGCAAGCGCAGCCCACCTCCGCCACCTCCCAGCCAGCCGCCGCTTCCACAGCAGTCACCCAGCCCGCCTCCCAGCCCGCCCCCGAACCATCCCAAAAGCCCCTCCCCTCCCCCTCCACCACCTTCCAGTCCGCCGCCGCCACCGCCCAAGAAGTCCAAGTCCCCGCCACCTCCCCGTCCCCCGCCCAAGAGGGCCAAGTCACCCCCGCCGCCACCCCCGCCGCAGCCGTCCTCTCCGCCACCTCCCTCACCTATGCCCCCCAACCCTCCACCACCGCCACCTCCCAGCCCGGCATCTCTACCACCGCCGCCACCTCCCAGCCCATCACCACCGCCTCTTGCTACCAGCCGCCCTCCTCCACCGCTGCCTGCTGCCACTTCTCCTTCTCCTCCACCGCCACCGCCGCAACCAGCTGCGAAGTCCCCGCCTCCGCCACCCCCAACCACAGCTAAGGCCCCACCGCCGCCACCCCCACGCCCTCCGCCTCCGCCCCCTCCGTCGCCACCCCCTCCATCGCCCCCACCACCGAGCTCGCCGCCCCCTCCTCCTCCTAGCCCGCCTCCACCTCCTCCCCCTCGTCCCCCGCCACCGCCCCCTCCGTCCCCTCGGCCTCCCTCGCCTCCACCCCCTAACCCACCCCCTCCTCCTCCCCCGCGGCCCCCACCGCCGCCCTCACCGCCACCTCCCAGCCCGCCCCCTCCTCCTCCCCCACGTCCGCCACCGCCCTCACCGCCACCACCCAGCCCGCCCCCTCCTCCTCCCCCACGTCCGCCACCGCCCTCACCGCCACCACCCAGCCCGCCCCCTCCTCCTCCCCCACGTCCGCCACCGCCCTCACCGCCACCACCCAGCCCGCCCCCTCCTCCTCCCCCACGTCCGCCACCGCCCTCACCGCCACCACCCAGCCCACCTCCGCCTCCACCTCCCAGCCCGCCTCCTCCTCCTCCTTCCTTATCCTCTAGATCACCCCCACCACCGCCGCCGCCACCGCCCCCCAATGCCAAGTCCCCACCACCGCCGCCGCCACCCCCGCCCCCACGCTCTCCGCCACCTCCCCCTCCATCCTCTCCTCCTCCCTCGCCCCCGCCTCCTCCACCCCCGCCGCCCAAGAATAACGGCAACAATGGTAACAACGGGAATAACGGCAACAATGGTAACAACGGGAAAAACGGCAACAATGGTAACAACGGCAACAATGGTAACGGCAATGGGAACAACGGGAACGGTAACGGAAACAGCGGGCGTTAGGCCCTCGCTGGGTAGCTGTCTAGCCGATCAGTCATCCCAGCCCGCAAGCACACATGCATCACGTCGGCAACCGGTGGCGGGCCGCGGTGTGGTGTGGAGTGAGGGGGCGCCGCTTGTGGGCCTCACCTTGACCCCACCATCGAGCTTACTTAGCTTGTCCCATCAATGAAGCGGCCGGGCCTGTTCGGGTTCTTGCAGGGCTCTTGAACGTATAATTGTTATTACCGTAATCCTTGGAAAAAGGCCACGGGAGTGTTGCGGGCTTTAATGCTGTGCAGGACGTGCTGCAAACATAATGCGGCGTGGATTGTATATATATATATTTGCTGTACATACACTAACACTGTGAATACGTGCGTGCGGTTACATACGTCCGCTTTAGTAAGAAATGCGTGGTTAATACGGCGGGACATACACAGGTGCTAAGCTTGCACATAAGTACGACATTCGTCGTGTACAAAGGTTGGAGGGTGGACAAAAGTTATGCGTGTATGGGTTGTAGCCATGCAGGTGTGTTCCGATGTGCAGGGGCGGCACCCAGCGTTTTAGGTATAGCAGCCGTCGTTGCGAAATTGATGTCACTACTCTTGTTTCTTGGAGGCTATATTAGCGTGCTTGCTGCCAGGCCGGAAAGTACAAGCCTTGCCCAACACAATATCTAAATATATAATAATGAAAGAAGCAGGCGCAGCGGCGCTCGGTCGGTTATAAAACAAAGTTTTGTTTGAGACGTCCTTCGTGGAAAGAATAAAGCGTGTGGCAGTGCGGTGTCGTTCACTGTGATTCGGTTAGCACGAGACAGCTGCTTACACGCCCTTGCTTACTAGGGCTCTTACTGCTTCGCGTGTACATATTTATTTCTGCCTAGCAGGCGGGCAGGCAGGCAGTGATCATGTGGGGGCAGGTGTGGCCTGTTGGTGCGGTCGTGCGGAAGTAAGCGTATGCACTTTGTTGTGATGGTGACAGTTACAGTCTGTACGCGCGTACAGTGTGTCCGTACGAGCCAGGGGGACCAAGGTCACTTTAAGAATTAAAGTCAGTCTGAGCCAGTTGTGATGGATGCGTGTACATACGACCAGGGGTTAGGACGCGTTCGTTGCTAGGGGTGCAAGGTCAAGATACATAAGTGTATGCGCTTGTGCGCACGAACGGACAGGTTGTGTTTAATTGATGTTTGGCTTGCTTGCTTGCCAGCGGGACGCTAGCTGTTAATACAACACAGATCCCCACGCACCAGCTGTGTGTAGTTGAGTAGAAACAAGAGCAAGCAGTTGGGATAGCAGCTGTGTGTCTTTAATCGAGTCGCCTGGGTGCAATGAGGCTGTGTGACAGCAGGCGTCCTGGTCCTGTGCTTAAACACATGTAAGGACCAGGTTCATTCGTTGCTCGATGGTGCCGTACGCCTCCCACGTGGCTCCATTCCTTACACAGCAGGTTGGCAACTTCGTACAGCAGCACCCCTTGTCTGGATAGTGCTTACATCAGCTGCATGGCCCGTGTGTCACAAAGGGGGGTCATGCGCGTACGGCAGGGGTACGTCGGGGTGCCTGTAACTGCTGCCGGTAACACGTTTAGCATGTTTACGTGCAGGACGGCTCTCAGCTGCCCTACCAGAGCTTCACCCTGCGGCAATCCCGCCCACGAGAAGTCCGCACATGCAATGGTATTGCCATGGTATGATGACTGATGCAGGATTGGAAGAACACAGGCTTCATTACCAAGTATACGTACATCCAAAGTACGGTCCGCCATTCCGCTCGTATGGCGTAACTTTCAAAACGTTACATAAGTGGTCCCACACAAGGTAACCTGTCGTGTTGATTCTATATCTTTTTAACCCTTGTCCAGGACCTGATTGGGGCCTAATGACGCAGCTGGCAGACTTTAGCTTCAATGTTGGAATCTCCGAACGAACAATATTGCAGTAGAACTGAGGGGGCATTTGTAGTTACCCCGTGTATGGCAGCGGCATCGCGGCATGGCGCCACAAATGGCAGCCTCGCAGCCTGCAGTTTCGTGTAATGGAGCGCAGTTGCAATGAGTTTCAGTAGATAATAGAAGTGTGGAAGGTTAATTTAAGTATTAACTCGCCTTCTCTACACACCATTGGCATTCGTCGGCCATTCGTCGTGGGTGTCGGTTGCTTGCAATAACTAAGTGGCAACCATGGCGATATACCTACCTGTATTACCTCGACACATTATGCATAGCTTTTTACTCCGCTGGGCTTGCCATTGTCCTAAAGGGACCAACCGTGGCCGTTGGAACCGTACAACGTGCTTCCTTTTGGCGCCAAAGCAAAGCGCAGCACTAGTCTCATCGATAACACGAGGTGTTGGTTAATAATGTCCAGATACAGTGTTCACATATTCATTCATTAAGTCTAGTGTTGGTTTCCCACAGATGGGCTTTTGGTACTAAATTGCTTTTTTACAACTTTCAGTATAAACTTAGCACCCGAGCCTAAAACTGCTAAGCTACACTAATGTCTGAGTGGTTTACAAGCACCGGCGAGGAACTAGGGGGAAAGCAGGGCCTCGTAACGGAGATTCTGTGCGAGCTGCCACCCAAGCCTACGCAACGCATAGCTGAAGTTCTGCATGGGCGACAAACATCTATTGCAGTGAAGCAGAATGAACTTCATGGTTCGTCACTTGTCCTTGCTTCTTGTCATTGCGTCATTGCTGGCAGCGTAAACCACCAACTACGCCTCGCTCTCTCGCTTGGCTACAGATGATGACATACGGACCTTTCCACCGCTCGTTAAGGGCGAAGAAGCGACCTCACGGAAGCGTCGGGTGCTGGCGCTGCGGACTGCGGCAGCAAAGCTGGAACGGGCCTTCGAGGTGCTTGCTTTCACACAGCGAAGTAATTGCGCCCAAGCCGCTTAATACCCCGTGCGTTCCAAGCCTGCTAGGTTGTCATCTTATCCATTAGCCAAGGACCAAACGGACATGTCTACTGCAGCAATGGACATCTGTTCGCTCCCAACCCACCTGCCCCTTCCCAACAGGCGTTTGGTCGTGAACGCGACCATGAGGACTTCCAGCGGCTCTGGGACGACTTCCTCGCCCATCACACGCCGCAGCGGCTGCTGTCAGCTCCTCAGGCGCCTGCTCCCTGCATCCCAGCCGCCGCTGCTACTGTCTCTGCTGTAGCGGCTCCTGCTCCTCCCACGGCGCATGCCGAGGGGCCCCGGGGCGCTATCCCCACGCTGCTGCTCTCAACCAACGGCGCCAGTCCGGCAGACAGATTGGATTTGTACGGAGCCTTCGCGTCGTACCTGCGAGAACAAAAGGTACTTCGAGAGCAGCTACAGCTCTCATTCCAAGCACCCCTATACACACCACCCCAATTTTCCTAACACACCACCCCCACCCTCCCCCCAGGGTGCCTACGTGGCGCTTCTGCGCCCCGAGGATCTGGCAGGCGGGGTGGGCGGGTGCTTCGGAGCCGCCCTCGCGCAGCTGAGTGGGCTGGCGGAGGCGGCGTCAGCGGAGGACGTCATGGTGGGGGCGGGGAGGGATGGGGGCGGGGAGGGATGGGGGCGGGAGGGGGGGCGGAGGGGTGGGGGTGGGGGGCGGGTGTGGGGTCGTAGGGGGGGGGGCGGCGGGGTCGACAGAGAGGTATTAGGGAGGTGGTGGTAATGGTAACGTAGCTGGTAATGGTTGTCATGGGGTTTAGGTTGGAACTACTGTGGTAGTGGAGGCTTATTAAGTACAGGCGTCATGCTCCACCGGCCACACAACCGCAGCCCTCTTCTTCTCTCTCCTGGCTCCGAAACCCGCGGATTACACCCGCCTTCCCCCGCAGGCCCTGGTGTCCTGGTACGAACACGAAACCGGCCGCAGCCGTACCGCCCTCCCTGCCGCCACAATCACCACCAACGCACTTCAACCCCTAGCAACCACCGCAACCGCCACCATCGCCGCCACACCCGCCAAGGGCGCCAAGACTCCAGGGAAGGCAGGCGGCAGGGCGGCGAAGACCCCCTCAGCCAAGACACCTGCTGCCAAGACGCCCGGTCGCGGGGGCCGTGGGGGCGCCGCCTCCGCTGCTGCCGGTGGTGGTGGTGGTGTGGAGGGGCAGGCGGGAGGCCCTGAGGAGGACCCCAGTGGGAAGGAGAACGCGGGCGGTGGGGAGGCGGCTGGCGGCGGGTTGGAGGGCACGGTAGCGACTCGGCTGCGAGCTCGGGGGCGGGGGCTGGCGGGTGAGGAGCCGTTGGGAGGGGTGATGGGAGGGGAGGGGCTGGGCGTGAGGAGGAAGGAGGAGGAGGAGGAGGAGAAAGAGTGGACGCTGGACAGGAGGGGACGCTCGGAAGCCCATTGTGTATGTACCTCTTTCTGCCCGTTACACCGCTCGTGCCCCCTAACCCAACCACCCCCCCCACCTCCCGTCTCCCGCCTCCCACACCCCTCATGCCCCCCTCAGGTCAGCAAGCCGCGGCCGCTGCAGCGGAGGCGGAGGCCCGCGCCGCCCGGGAGGCTGCCGCTGCCGCCGCGGCTGCCCGCAACGCCTGCCGCCACGTGGTGCTGCTGGTGGAGGGGGTGGGGCGGCTGGCGGACCGCAGTGTGCTCCGGTCGCTGCTGGCGGCACTGCACGGGGAGCGACACCGGCTGCCGCTGGTGCTGGTGCTGGGTGGGTGGCGGGAGGGGAAAAAAGAAATTCCAAAATGTCGTGTGATAATGAGGATGGGGTCGCTGCTACGGTTGGGGGGGATATGGAGGTGCTGTATGGGCCCTGTTGCCCGTCCGGATACTGCTTGGAATGAGCTCTGTCCTCGCTCTTGCCCCCTCTTGAGGGGCCATGTTGTCTATGCTGTAACCTTTCCTTCGCATGCTGCATGCCTCTCGCTGCATGCCCCAGGTCTGTCCTCCCCCGCTGCGCTGTACGGCGGCAAACTGCCGGCTGACGTGGCGGGGCTGCTGCAGCTCTCGGCGGCTGAGCTGGCGCCGCACCCGCACCAGCTGCACCGCCTCTTCCAACGTGAGGGGGTGGGGGTGGGGGTGGGGGCGGGCGTCTGGGGCCTGGGGTGGGGGAGACACCGAAACGTTCCTTGCGAAGGATACCAAAAGTACTGGGTAATGGGGGACGAGGAGATGGCTAGAGGGTTTTGCATCGTGAACTTGGGGTTTGAGACGCAAAACTAGAAACAATCGCAGTTGGAACGCGTCAAAAATGACGCCCTAGGTCGCTTCCTCTCTCCCCAACACCCTCCCACCACCATGCAGACGTACTGCTGGCACCACCTGCCGTACCAACCGCTCCGGCTGTAGCAGCAGCAAACGCCGCAGCCACATCCGCTACCGCCTCCAAATCCTCTACCGCTGCCGCCGCCGCCGCATCATCCGCTGCCGCCTCTGCTGCCGCCGGGGCGCTGCTGCTGCTGGACGGGGGGTGCATGCGGGAGCTGCTGCTGCAGTCGCGGCTGCTGGAGCCCTCCCTGGCCAGCCTGCAGGTGGGGGGGGTCAAAGATCATACCAAACCATAGGAGACCACAAGTTAGGGCAAAGCAATGGGGGAGGGTAGCCGCATGTCCCCATCAGAAAGGGGTAAAGCCCGAAGAACGGTAGCCCCTAGCCTTTGATGCTTCCGCTGCACCTTCTTCGCTGCAACGTCGTACTTAATCCGCCCCATGTCGCATCATGTACCGGCGCTTCCCCACGCAGGCTGCCCTCCTCGAGGCCCACGAACAGCACTTCCGGCGGGAGCCCCTGGCGCCCCTGGCACTGCTGCCGCTGCTGCAGCGGGCGGAGGAGGTGGCGGAGGAAGCCGCCGCCGCAGCGGCCGCCGCCGCCAGACGTGGCCGGAAGCGCGCCGGCGACGACAGCAGCAGCAGCGACGAAGATAGTGATAGCAGCGGCGAGGGTGATGGTAAGAAGTCGGGCGGTCGCGGGAAGGGGAACCGTCCTTCCTCGCCGTCCTCTTCGTCTTCATCGTCTTACGTGTCAGTGGCTTCCAAGGAGGATGAGGGCATGGAGGTCCAGGGGGCCGAGGATGCTGCCACCAGCGGCGACGCCGGCGGCGGAGGCGGAGCAGCCGGCAGCTCTCGGCCCGGCGGGGTGGCGGCGGCGACAGCGATGGATGACGCCTGGCTTGAGCGACGAGTACGACAGCACCGGGAGAGGCTGACGGCGGCGGTGGCGGAGCTGCCCGCGGAGGTGGTGAAGGCCGCCGCCGCCGCTGTGAAGACCGCCGCCGCCGCCAGTGGCGCTGCCGCAGCGGCGCCGTCGGGTCGTACGACAGCCGCCGAGGCGACGGCGGTGGTGTGCGACGCTGTGACGGAGGCGTTCTCTGCGCTGTCTTCCTGGCGACTGGGGCTGCAGTGGCTGGCAGTGCTAGCGGAGGGCACGGGTGAGGCTGACCCGTGGGTCGGTTACGGGGCAAGGGGAGAAACGGGTCGGGGCACAGTGGACCGCATTTCAGAGACTTTACCTTCAAACACGCTATTGTGCATGCGGATCAAAAATGAAGCCGCAGCGGTTGGCTACAGATAGTGTTGCACCCTCTTTTCTGTCCTGCTCTTCTGAAGGCCCCTCCATCTCCAGGTGTTCACATGATCCCCTCCATCTGATCTCTTGCCATGCAGGCGCACCGAAGCAGATGGGTGGCCAGCGGTACAGCCTGCCCGCCCTATACATCGCCGCCGCCAGCCCGCGCTTCTGGACCTCCTCGGTCGCCGCCGCAGCTGCAGCAATCGCCGCCGCAGGCGCCGCCGCGGGCGGGCTACGGGCGCCGCCGGCGGCTGCGTCGTTGTCGCTGGGGGAGATCTTGATCGGCGGCGTGTTGGGACCCGCACCCTCGGCGGCGGCAGCGGGAGCTGCGGGCTCGTCGGCGGCAGGGGGGGCAGGAGGTGCCAGCCGGGCTGCTCTCCGAAACCTTTCCGAGGAGGTAACAAAAACCACCTCGGTGAAGCAAGCCTTGAGCGCTATGTGAAGCGATGTAACGTGCACATGCGAGAACCCCAGTGGCGGTTGTGTGCATGTTTCAGGCGACCCTTTCCTGGACACCCAGCACCCTAGGACGTGTGCTGTTGAGCATCGGCAGCACCTCCCCGAAACTCTCCCTCGCACCCACACGCCTCCAGGATCTGGAGCTACTGCTGGGGGACTTGTCGGCTCTGGCGCGGGAGGCGCTGCTGCGGGGCTGGATGCCCTCGGCCGGGGTCATGCGGGCCAGCAGGGGCCTGGAGGTACGAGTGCGGGATGCGGGTGCAAAGGGGCGACAAGGGGACTGCGAACCACTCACACCCAGCCATGCATACATGGGCGTTCACCGTCATAAACACCTACACGTTATACCTACTCATACGCCATACCGACCGTGGACAGTCTAGGGAAGCTTGACTGCCTCGACTTTGTTGGGACTCGACTCGACTCGAGTGCGACCACCTGGGAAACCTTTTGTGACTTCCCACACACCCCAGGAGCTGCGGCGGCGGCACCGACTGGAGAGGGCCGCACAGCAGCAGCAGCAGCAGCAGGCGGGGGGTGTTGAGGGCGACGACACGTCACCGGTGCGGAGGCGGCTCGCGGCGCAGGGGCTCACCAGCCCCCCAACTGCCGTCAAGATGCAAAGCATGCTGGAAAGGCAAGTGCTGCTGGGTTAGTACCAACGGGGTACCATAGTATCTCGTTAGTTGAATTTGAAGCTCTGCTGTCGATTTACTTTGTTTGCTGGTAGGGGTTGTGGGGCTGTGTTCTGATGTGTGCTCCCTGTCACCCAGCGGTACTACTGCCACTCCGTCCTTATACTACTTCCTATTCGTTCGTTGTGCCGCTGTCGAACCCTACCAACCCGCCCCCCAGACTGGGCGGATTGAACCCCATACCCGCGCCAAAGCTCCTCCAACCCAACGACGACTCCAGCAACCCCCAACCACAACAACAACAGCAGCAGCCGGCAGCAACGGGGGCGGCAGCCGGCCGCAGGGGCGCTGCTGCTGCTGCTGGCAGCGGCAGTGGAGGGGCGCATGCGGCCGCACTCAAGCTGCCCTCCTCCGGCATGACTCAGAGTGGGTGGACAGGGGGGCATGCGGGACTGTGCGGTGGTGGTTGCGGGTGTAGCGGTGGTTGGTTGGAACTGTCGTACAGTGTGGGCCCTGTCGTACAACGCCTCCCTTTGCCCCCACCCCAATTCCTGCTCCCCTCCCCAACCCCCCTCTCCGGCTTTCCCCTCCAATCCCCCGCAGCCAAACGCCAGCGCGACCAGGCGCTGCTGGCCGCAGTGCAGCAGCAACGTGCGGCAGCAGCGGCAGCAGGGTCGGCTGCTGCTGCTGGTGCTGGTGCTGGCAGCGGCAGTGGCGGTGCCTGCTCCTCCGCTGCTGCCGGGTCGGGCAGTCTGGCTGAGGCGGCGGTGGAGGTGCTGTGGGGGGCGCTGCGGGAGCTGCTGGGCGCGTGTCCCTTCCGCTTGCCAGGTGGGGGAGGGAGGGATGGTGGGAGGCGGCTGGGAGGAGGGTGTATGGAGGAGGTAGCGAGGGACGGAGGGGGCCCATCCACCCTTCCCTACGTGCCCGGGAAGCTCGGATGCCTAACCTCTCCCCCCCCGCTCAACCTCTCTGCTTCCCTTCACTCCCTCTCCGCTCTACCCCCTCCCTAACCCTCCCATTGCCTTGCCCTAGCCTGTGGTTTGAGTTGCCTCTGACCTCCCTCCCTCCCTCCTGCTCCCACCCGCCCCCTCCCTCCCTCCTCCCTCGCCAGGTGCCAGCGTCTTCACGTTCCGCGACGCCCCGGGTCTGCAGCGGCGGCTGGTGGGCGCCCCCTCCCTGGCGCTGCACACCGCCCTGGCTCAGCCGGAGCTGGTGCTGCAGGAGCTGGTGCCGGGGTGAGGGGGCGGGGAGGGGGGGAGGGGGGTACAGGAGGAGGGGGAGGGGTGTACAGGAGGGGGGGAGGGGTGTACAGGAGGAGCGGGGGGAAAGATAAGTGGGAGGGGGGGAAGAAGAGTTTGTCAGAGGGGCTTTGGTCACTCCTGCTGGGTTCTTAACCCCCTCCTGTCCCCGTGCTGAACTGCTCCCCGCCCCCTCACCCGCCTCACGCTCCCGCCCGCCCCCCCAGTGTGCACGCGGGTCAGGAGGACGCGGCGCTGGCCTACCAGCTGCTGGTGGGGTGTCGCGAGGGGGCGGACCTGCGCGACTGGCTGGCGGACTTTTGTGCGGCGTCGGGGCTGGGGAGGATGCAGGTAGGGAGGGGGGTGGGGGTGGGCAGGGGAAGGGAGGGGGAGGGTTCAGGGAGGGAGGGAGAGGGCAGGTTGCAGGTGCATGCGTGTATGGGTACAGGTCATAAGTAAGCGGAAGTAAGCAGCATGTGATTCTGTTGCTGTTATTGCTGTGCAGGACGTGCAAGACGAGCAGGAGGAGGAGCCAGAGGCACCGGATGCGGACGCGCAGGGGGACCGACCCATGGGTCGCTCTCGCCACTCGCGACGGCGGCAAGCGCCCAGGAAGCGCAAGGCCGCTCCAAAGCAGGTATGCTGTACTGTACGGCACCTCGTCCACTCTGGTGTGTTTGTGCTCCAAATTAAGTATACCTCAGATAGCCTCTTATGCTTCAAGATAACCCTTGCTGTGCGTCCCATATGCGCTCCCTTAAAGCACTTGTATAGAGCGTTCATGCCACTGTTTCACAACCCTGTTCTTCCCCTCCCCCCGCAGGAGATGGTCCTAGCGCTGGACGGCCCCCAAGCGGAGGCGGCGGTGGACGCGCTCGCTTGCCGCTTCGAGCAGGCGGTTCGGGAGCTGGAGGCGGTGGGGCTGTGTCGCTTCACAAAGCGACGCAAGGGGCTGTACGTGCTGCGGACGTACTTCCCACCGGAAACGGTTGCCTGAGTGTACGGCACAGGATGAAGCTGTAGCTGCTGCGAAATGGGGTGAAATGTTTATTGCTGGTTGGGGTGGTTTGGGCTGGTTGTCAGAGTAGAGTATATGCAGCTGTTGTTGCAGTGAGTGGTGTGGAAGCACCCGCAGTGTTGTGATTGAGGGAACCAAGACATCAGCAAGGACCGCGATTTGCGTGATAAGAACTCCACAAGGATGTCAAATTAGACGCATATCCTACTTTTCTACTAGACAGTATGGCGGCTTCCCGTTTGCCGTACATATGGCGTACGTGCTGTAAACATGTAAAAGTACGACGGGAGTGTATTACTTGGTGCCCATCGCCCCCTAAGATAATACCCGCTGCGTTTGAACCCTGTGGTCTGCATCCTCTTGTGTGCAATACGGCACTAAGAAAATCTTCTGGCAAACACGCTGTTAGCAACAGAAGTGAGGCCCACGCTTCGGGCTCAGGTAGTGATTACATGCAGGATGTGTTTACCCATATAACCTGTTTAACGCAGCTCCAGAGAACATTGGATTTCGTAGTGCGATACACACATATAATCCCCTAGACAGGCTATCAATGTACCTAACAAGGCTAGAAGGAAATGATGCCGACAGTTAAGCACACTGCAAAAGGAAAGGAATCATGGCACCAATGGAAACACCCTGTAAGATTCCACGTGCACACTAATACAAAGGCCATTTCCGTATCATTGATTTTCCTCGATGTGCAGCGCCATATGCGCAAAATTAGGGTGAAATTCAGCGTATTTATAGCTGAATATTACGGCTAAATTTTGCGGTCGTTAGGGGTCTTGTTACTGAGAACTGACTGCTAATGAAGTGCAGTTATCTTGCACAAGCGGTTCTGCCGTCTCATGCATCTACCAAATGGAGCGGACTGGTTGCAGCCCTCGCACTTTCCCAGGTTTCAGAGACAGCATTGGCAAACGCCCTGCCCGGAACGGTCATTCCTGGCTCAGCGCGTGCTGCTCATGGAGCACGGTTGCGCTATCTTTCTCTAAGCCAGCAACACCGTTTCAGCTCGCTAGCATTTGAGGAGGTGACGGCAGGCGCTCCGACAACAGAACACCCGGTATGTGGATGATGATGGGCAAGCGACCAACCCTTTCTCCGCCCCTCCTCCACCCTCCTTCCTTTCTGACAACCCGCCCCTCGCTTCCAACTTCCCCAATCACTTCGCAATCATTCTGCTCCTCATCCATCCCACTCTGCATCCGCTTCCCACCCACATCCCTACGCTCCTGACCCGTCCTCCCTCTTCCTTAGGTGGCATCCCCCAGCCGCACGCTCTTCATCCTTCACGGGCTGCTGGGCTGCGGTCGCAACTGGCGCACCTGGGCCCGGCGCCTGGTGGAGGGCGCGGCGGCGACTCACCCGCCTGCCGGGGGGCCCTGGAGGGCAGTGCTGGTGGACCTGAGGTGCCATGGGGCCAGCACGGGCAGGTGGGGAAGGATGTGGGGGGGGGGGCGAGCGGCTGGGGAATACGGTAGCAAAGAGGAGGTTCGCAGAGGGGCGCGTGGCTGTGAGGATAGTGCGTGTGTGGGGGGCGGTTGTTCATGCCCAGACAGGTCCCGTGTCGCCATGCCGTTCCAAGGGTGGAAAGGCCGTCTGTCCCTCCCTGGGCGGCTTTCACGTGCTGTTGCGTCCTCCGGAACCACTGAGCCGCACTGGCGACGCACCCTCAGGCCCGGACTCCACCCGCCACACAACATGCACTCCGCGGCGGAGGACGTGTCGCGGCTCATCCAGGAGCAGCTCGGGTGGGGCGCGGGGGGGGGGGAGGGGTGGGGGGGACTCGAAAGGTGCAGATAATGAAGGAATAATGGAAGAGTGAAAACTGGGTGCGGTGCATAAGAATCTACTGGTTGGATGGAGAGCATCCGCCCACTATCCAGCCCACCAGCAGCAAGACGGTGAGCTCCAAGACGTGCGGGTACCGGTAACCCTCATCACAAGCCCGCTCCCCCACCGCTCCCGTACCCTCCACCGGCCCCTTCCTCCCTGTCGCCACCACCCGGCCCCTCCCTCGCAGCTCCCACGCCCCGGGAGCCGTGTTGGGCCACTCCCTGGGCGGTAAGGTGGCCCTGGCGCTGCTGGAGCAGTGCAGCACACGCGCAACCGCCGCAGCCCCAGCCCCAGCCGCCGCCGCCGCGCCGCATCATCATCAGCTACCGGTAGCCTCCGGAGCGGCAGGGACGACACCGCCCCCATCACTGCCAGGATCAGCACCTCCACCTCCTACACCCATGTCATGCGTTGAGGGGTCGTCCGCAGGAGCAGCAGAGTCAGCAGCAGCAGCAGCAAGGCCGCAGGTTCAGGCCGCCGCCGGCTGCTCGCATGCCGCCGCCGGTGCCGCCGCCGGTGCCGGTGCTGCTGCCTGGTGTGCTCCGCCCCGGCAGTTGTGGGTGCTGGACTCGCAGCCGGGGCTGGTGGCGGCGGAAGCGGATGTGGGGACGGGCGTGTCTCGGGTGCTGAGGATTGTGCATGTGAGTGGGGGTGTTGGGGGGGTTAGTTACCTTGGGTTAATCTTGACTGTTGCACTGCTATTGTGTGGTACGGTTACGTGCCTTGTACGTATACATAATCATGCAGCTAAGGCATATCAGGGTTCACGGTTCGAAGGGGTTGTGCTGCACCTAGAGGTTTAGCTTTCGGACAGGGTGCTGGAAGGGAAGAGGGAAGGGAGGGAGGGAAGCTAAGAATGGTGGGCTGGGCTAGGGGTACGGCGCCTTCAGTCGGTTTTTGGATGTCCATGCAATGTAGGATCGCAAGCAAGCATGGGGTCATCGAGCCTGCAGCACCCCCCTCTCTTCCGGTTCCTTCCGCCCGTTCTTCCAACCCCCACAAACCCCATCCATCCTCCCTCCCCCTTCTTCGCCATGCATCCACCCAAACCCCTCCCCCACTCAACCCCCCCCCCCCCCCGCAAACTGTGTGTTTCTCCCCGCAGTCCGTCCCGCTGCCGGTGCCCAGCCGCGCCTGGCTGCTGTCCCACCTGCGCCAGCGGGGCCTGCAGGAGCACCTGGTCAGCTGGCTGGCCAGCAACCTGACACCCATGAAGGGGGGGCAGCAGCAGCAGCCGCAGCAGCAACAAGGGGCGCATGGGGGAGGGCATGCCGGGGCGCCGCTGACGTGGTCGTTCAATGCGCAGGGAGCGGGCGCTATGTACATGGCGTACAGGTGCGTGTGAGAGGTGCTTGTTGGTGTTGGGGTGAAATTTTGAATGACATGTTGAAGGTAGCTACGGTAGCTACACTTTTCTGTCGAGGGTGTTTAATGGTAGTACTCGTAGACGTCCTGCGACATGCCACGATACGGTAGGTGTGCTCCATCCCTACTCTTCTCCTCACTCCTGTCCACGCCCTACCCTTAACATGCCGAATCCCTTCCAACGGCACTCACAATGCACCGGCACATCTAACGTGGTCCCACGCACATGGCAACAATCACACCGCACACCACTCCCAAACACCTGTTGTGTCACACACACACACCTGCACTCCGAACCGCTGCAGGACCACCGACTTCTGGCACCTGTTGGAGCGCCCGCCGTACGGCACTGCCGTACACCTGGTGCAGGGGGGCCGCTCCGACCGCTGGCCTTCCGAGATGCAGCGGAGGCTGCTGGATGCTGCAGCCGCAGCCGCCTCACCCGCCCCTGGAGCCCCTGCTGCGACGTCGTGTGCACAGCCCGGGGGGCGGGACCAGGGGCAAGTAGCGGGTCAGGTGCAAGGGGGGGCCCGGGGTAGCTTCCAGCACCATGTGCTGCCTGACGCGGGCCACTGGCTGCATGTGGATAACCCGGAGGGGCTGCTGAGACTGGTGGTGCCGCGACTGGGGGAGCTGTAGGTCCCATGCGGGATTGAGAGCAGGCGGTTGCGGGATGTGGTTGGAGGGACTCGGTTAGGAGCTGGGGCTTGGGCTTGGGCTCGGGCGGGACCGGACCGAAGCCACCTCGTGGGTCATGGCCTGCCGCTGTGATTTGCGCCCTTGCATTGAGATCCATGCGAAGAGGGCGGCATGGGTGTGCCTGTGGTTGCGTGCGGCAAAGTAGGCGTGCGTGTGTTGGCTCCAGCGCCCATGATGAGGGCTCAATGCGAGCATTCGTTAACAGTGCAAAGCATACCGGTAGTATAAAAAGCCGTCTTATCTTGTTTAGAACCAGCAGGGTCGCTTTTTACATGGCGAAGGACTGTTCACTTCACCATCAGCGTCTGCCGAAGAAGTGGCCCAACCTATTCTTACTTCACACGAGGGCCTACAACATGTGTGCTAACGGCCCCTCGAACAGGCACTCCCCCACACACACCCATGCCGCGCTTGGAACCTCGACACGGCTCCTCCTTTCATCCCCACCCGCGCTTATTTGACTGCATGACCACCCCATGATCCCCAAACGCAACGCCAAGAAAGCTTTTCAGCTGCGACTGCTGACCCCTTTTCACGGCGTCAATCAGGAAAGACCTCTTCACGGCTTGCACCGGGCAGGCAGGCACACGAAGGACACACTGCCAACCCACATCACACCACACACCTCATTTCATCTTCCGGCAATCACAGTACGTTCCAACTCGCGGCCAATTTTTCTCAACACACCCCTCAGTCCAGTTCACACCTTACTCAGCCCTTGTAATGCATCGCATGCACCCTCTCATGCGCTACTCTCCTGCTGCTAGTGCTACCCGGTACGTCACGCATGCGGCCTCTGCGTCTGCATGTTGCTGCTGCCGCCGCCCACGCAGCCGCTCCGTTTCATGTTCTCCTGCGCCTGCCGCAAGCACATTTGCAGCTCCTCGTAGTGCGCGTCAATCATCCAGCGAATCTCAGCCGACACAGTCCCCGGATGTCCCGCCGGGGGCAGCAGCAGGTGCGCGGAATGCAGCGAAGATGGGTTGACAGTGCCCAGGTCGAGCAGCGCGGGGTGGGGTGTTGCCGTCCCTGTGGGCTGCTGCTGCGGGGGAGGAGGAGGAGGAGGCTGCAACATGGCGTGAGGTGTTGCGGCCTGGGGGTGAGGCGCAGGGTCCAACTCTAGGCGCTGCTGCTGCTGCGCCGCTACCACCGCTGCTGCTCCTCCTCTTGCCGCCGTCGTCGCCGCCGAGACGTGGTGTCGGAATTGCTGCTGGTGGTGGTGGTGGTGGTGCCGCTCCTCGTAGTCTTCTTCTTCCTCCTCTCCTTCGTCGCCATCATAGCCGTCTTCCTCCTCCTCATCCTCGCCCTCTCCAAAACCCTCCTCACCCTCATCCTCCCCCTCATAGTCCTCGCCCTCCACCCCCTCCTCTTCGGCACCCCCATGCCATCCCTCCTCTCCCTCTCCCTCCTCCCATTCCTCCTCCTCCATCCCCTCGCCTTCCTCTCCCTCCTCCTCAATCTCCACCTCCACTCCCGCCGCCGCCCTCACGCCCACAGGCTCTTCCGGAGTGGGCGGCGGCAGCTCAAAAGGCTCCGGAACCGCCACCCCGGCCTTGCCGCACATGTCCCGGGTACGGCAGGCGAGATCCCGCAGCGCCACGGCAGCTGGGTAGCGGTGGTCATAGCTGCTGGGCGCGTCGTCCCTGTGGTGGGATGCGGGCGAGTACGGGTAAACAACAGGAAGCCGACGGACTGCATGACACCTCGTACAACACAGGCGCATGCAGGGGAGGGGTAGTACGGCAGCACGACACTACGGAGGCGGTACCGACAGACACCACTCCGAAACCACCCTCCACCCCTTCCTTGTGTTTATCCCTCTCACCACAGCAGGGAGAAGCGCGCGGTGGCCGCCTCCACCAGCGTCTCCAGGGCGGCTGCGAAGGAGGCTCCCACTCGGGACAGCAGCTGAGCGACCTCCTGCTCTAGAGCAGCTGGGGGCGGGGGGTTGGGGGCGGGGGTTGGGGTGGAGGTTTCCGTGTGTATGTATGTTACCACTGGTCCAAACGGGCTGTAACTGGCTGGTCATCTTGTACTGGTATAACCTTATATGGGTTACGAAATTCGGGGCACGACAACACTCGCCTTCCCCCCCTCCCGCACGTAAGTCCATTACTCGTACTGGCTTGGCTAATTCGGGATGGGCGGGTCGGGCTGGCTCACATGTTGCAACCCATGTTGACGCCTTATCCCTCAGTCAGTTAGTTGTTTCCTCTTTACCCCTCCCGCACGCCGCCGCCCCCACTCACCCGCCGCCTCCCGCAACGCCGCCGCCCCCACCGCCTCCACGCGTCCCTCCACCGCCGCCTTCATCCGCTTGTAGCAGCCGGTGCCACTCTCCCAGGCCGCCTGCTGGTACGCCGGCTGCAGCGCGGCACGGACTCGCGGCTCCATAACGTCCCGTGAGAGGTCCCGCGCCGCGCCCTCCACCTCCGCCAGCGCCCTGTCACGCCAGGCAGCCAGACGCCGCTCCTCGTCCCGACGCACCTGTGCACGCGTGCATGCAACGTAGTCAACATACGGTACCACAAGAAACCGCTCCGCCAGTCAATTAGTCAGTCATCTGTCAGTCACTTTTTGCTCAAGTGGCGCCCCTTCGCTTGTGTGCAACGGGAACGGCACGAAACCCACGACGCCACGCCGCCGCCCCCTACCTGCCACCCTCCTTCCCTTCTACTACTCCCTGCTCCGCCATCTCCCCCTCCCACCCCACCCCCACCTGCGCATGCAAGCTGTCCAGCTGCTGCGGGCATCCCGCCAGCCGCTGCGCCACCTGCTGCCGTACCGCCGCCACGAAACTGTCCAACACCTCCAACGACCAACTAACCAGGTCACTGAGGGACGGCGGGGGATAGGGGGATAAATAGGGATACATATTCCGCTTTAGGCTGGTTAGTTGGGTTAGCGTGTTGTAGGGGGGAAGAAGAAAACCATGCGTTGATTGATAGGTGGTGGTAGGGAAGGGGGGGGAGGTACAAAGAAGCATAAAGCAGTTTCCGTGAGGTTAGGGGTCAGAGGCCTCGGCCTGGCAGCAATGACCGTACGACAACGGTCCGGCGAGGTGCGGCAACAGCCAACGGTATGACAAGGTGGCGCACCTGAGCCGCTGTGCGAAGCGCTTGTTGAAGATGTCGTCCCACACTCCGCCGATTCGGTTGAGAAGGGGGTTGGCGAGGTCACCGTTGAAGTCCAACGGCCCTGCGCTCGGGCTGTGGAAGACCCCGTTGCGCCGTACACATGCCTGCATGGGCGGTGGGATGGGGGAGACACAGGGGGTAGGGGGGTTAATAGGGATGAAGATTCCGCCTTACGCTGGATTTTAGACAGAAACAGAGGAAGGGGGGGGCTCAGGGAATACAAGCCAGCTCCAAGGGGCGGGACCAACTTGTTTCCTTCCCCTCCATGCACTAATGTTCCCAATATCCACAATCACAACACCGCGTCATATCTGCACACCTTCACCTACACACCATGTATTGATACATACACAAACAGCAGCAACACCAGCAGCAGCAGCACCCGCTGCGGCACCCGCCAACCTCACGTTACGTCACCTACCCTGTAGGTCGACCAGTTGCGCAACCCCCAACCCCGGGAAGTCCCCGGTGCCCTGCCCTGCGCCTCCGCCAGGCCCGCAAGCAGGTAGGGACGCAACCCGCGGTGCAGGAACTCGTCTTGGATGTGAAGCAACTGTACGACAGAGAGGCGGAGGGGGTGGGAGTGGGAATGGACGAGTGGTGGGAAGCAAGGCACTGCATGGGAGGTTGGATGTCAGTAGTGCTATGCCCAGGTGCTTTGCAATGGGAACGAATGGCGGATACCTGGATGCATGGAAAGCGGATGCATGCGCCGACGCTTCCACCACCACCACCACCTCACGCAATAGCACAACTGACTTTCTTCACCTACACATCTGCATAGTCCAGCCCCAGCCCCAACACTGCTCACTTGCACCTGGATCCTGCACCTGGATACACCGCGGCCAGTTTTCTTAACACACGCACCTGCACGTCCAGCCCCTCCTGCAGCCTCGCCCGCAGCCACTCCAGGCCCTGCCCGAACACGGCCCGCAGCACCGCAGCGGACACCCGGGGGTCCTCCTGACGCTGTATGAGGGAGGGAGGGAGGGAGGGAAGGAAGGAAGGGGAAGAGAGGGGAGGGGCAGTTGACTCTCATGGCACTCCCACACCGCTATTACAAGCACTAGGAACGAAGCAGCTCTGACCTGTCCACGTCCGCAAGCAATGGTGACCCATGGGTCACTTCATTCGCCCCCAGAACCCCATGGGGCACCCAACAGCTCCTCCCCTTCACGCCGTTCGCGCTCACCCACAACACCCCTCTTCCCCCTATCGACCCAGTCCATCGTGACATTGCGATCAACAACCCGACACACAAAACACCGCTTCCGGCAATCACAGTACGCTCCAACTCGCGACCGCTTTTTTTGTAAACACCGCTGCCCCCCGCTTACCTTGTTCAGCAGGAAGCTGCCGACCGAGTCGATGAAGGCGAACAGCGCCCTGAGGAGCTCCCGCTGCGCCCGCATGCGGCCCCGCTCGGCGGTGTGACGCACGTGCTGCCGCAGCGCCAGCACCTCGGTTTGGTCCAGTCTGAGGGGGGAGGGGGAAGGCGGGCGGGGAGGAGGGACCGACCTGACAACGCCTGCCAATCTGCCTTCGCGTCTTTCTCGCCGCATCAACCTCCTACTCTGCCTTATCCCCTAGCGTCCTGCCTCATACCCTGCCTCATCCCCCGTCCCTCCACGGCCCACCTGACAAAGGTAGCTGCCCTGCCCGCTCGCTTGTTGCGCCCCTCCAGCTTCTGAGCATCCCTAGCCGACACACAGAAGACGGGCAGCTCGGGCTCGCCCTCGCCCTCCGGCCCCCCGGTCGGCAGCTTGCCCATCTGTGCATGCAAGCAGCAGCGGCAGCGGCACCGGCAAGGGAGGAGGAGAAGGAGCGGGGTGGTTAGCCATCTGTATCAACACTTATGCGGGGTGTCTGACCCTGTGGTTGATCTTCTACTATTACAGTATTTCCCAGCCCTTCAAGGAAAAACGTGTTTCCTGGAAACCCAAGCCAGAGTGCGGTTAAAGCTAACAACCAGGCTAACAACCCTCCCTCCTTGCCGTACCTCCTTGACCCCCTCCCTGAAGTCCTGTTGCAGCCTGTCGCGGCTAAAGTTGTTCCGCGCCACAGCGCACAGCGCCTTCATGTGCAGCTCCTGCTTCTGCAGCCGCTGGGTCACCGCGGCGAGCTGGTGCTCCTCGGACTTGCGCTGCCGTACCAGGGCAACGTAGGAGGACCTGCGGGCAATTGGGGGATTGGCACCGGTTGGTGGTTACTGGTAGTTAGTTAGGATGTGGATGAAGGGCTGGATGGCAATGCGTCAACGAGCGTTGTGTTCTTTTGCAGTCGGTGTGTGCATATCCGTTTCTGCCTTACAGAGCATGCGTTATTCAAGGCGCCTAACAACAGAGGTGTACATTGCCGTGAAATGTGTGTATGTTGTCTTGCAGCCCACCTGAGCTCCGAGTACGTCCGTACGGCCTCCCGTAGCTGAGTCATCTGCTCGTCCAGGCTCTTGGACGACAGGCTGGATTGGGGGGGTATATTGAAAAGCAAGGCAACGGTGGGAGGGGGAGCAAGTGACGTATAAATCCGTACACCTGCCTTGCTCCTAGAGTCGCCATGCAGTGGCATGTGCCGTACATCCGTACATCCGTATCTTGGTGCGGTGCAAGATATGAGCACCGCAGCAGCGGAAGCAAAGCAGGGCTTAGGCATGGCTGTTCCAGTCCACCGTTTCCCATTCCCACTGTTTCCAAGCCCATGAGCCCCATGGCACAAAGCACTTAAAGATGTTACTATTTAGCAAACCCAACACTCCCGCTTGCACAGCCTTACCTGGCTAGCATCCCGGCGGCCCCTCCCTTGCCGCCCGCGTTGCCCGTCTTGCTCCTCTTCTGGGCCTTGCCGCCGCCCCTGCCACCGCCGCCTGCACCGCTGCGGCCGCTCCGCTTGCGCTTCCTACCCACGGCCCTGCCGCCACTGCCCTCGCTGCCCTCTTCCTCATCGCTGTCGGCCACCTCCACCACGTCATCCTCCGCCTCGTCTTCCTCGTCTTCGTCCTCCTCGGACCGCTGACCCCTCGCCCCCTCCTCCTCTTCGTCGCCGCTGCTGCTGTGCCCGGGGGAGTAGTCCTCATCGCTGTCCTCAATCTGTGGCAGGAGAGGTGGGTCAGAGCGGGGGTGATGAGGGCTATACAGCCACCAGGATGTTCGGGTTTCCACCGGATCATCACCATCCGGATAGAACAGCATACGGAGGGCGGTTAGGACGGTTTTCGGTTAGGGTGGGGTTGGAGCCGGGGTAAGAAGCCGATAGTATGCAGGAATCCCGTACGACCAATTTCCCTTCACAATTCCACCCCTCCCAGCTCTCTCACCTCCTCCTCCGAACCGCTGCCTTCATCTCCACTGCTGATCTCCACCACCTCCACCTCCTCCTCACCCTCGCCCTCCATGCCGCCCTCCTCTTCCTCACTGCCCTCCCCACTCTCCTCGCCCCCCTTCCTCCTCTTCCCCCCACCGCTCCCCCCACTCTTGCTCTCCCTCTTCCCGCCGCTGCAATTCAGCGGCAGCAGTTGCCGTACCAGCTCACCCAGGCCCTCCGGCCTCCTGCCCCCCGCACCCCCCTCCGCAGTACGGCAACTGTCCCGCACGCAGCGCTCAAGCAGCCGCGCCTCCCGCAGCGCCTTCTCGCAGCACCGCTGGGTGCTGCCCACCTGCTCGGCAGAGCCCGTGAAGGTGCGGGACAGGGTGCGCGATGAGTAACGGGTGAAAACCAGAATAAGCCCATGCAAGGTTGGTGGGAGATCTGGCAATGGGATCACGGCCGTCCACTCTCGGCTGCCGACCCTTGAGGGGAAGCTTTTCCTCCTCCTATCAACCGCAACCCCACCGCGTCCCCCACCCCCCGTGGACTCGTGCCTTGCGAGTGGTGGCTGCCTTGGCCTTCTTCGCCGCCTTCTCCTCCTGCCGCAGCGACTCCAGCCTGGCCTCCAGCGCCGCAAAGACCCGTGGGTCGGTGTGGCTGCGGGCACACACCTCCTCCGCCCCCAGGTCGCGCAGCGTCTCAGTCCACTGGTGGTGTGTGTTATTAGGGGGGACGGGGCGGGGCATGGCAAGGGCGGGTTTGCTTGGGGTTGCCGCATGCAGTTGCAACGTGGAGGGGGGGGGGAGGGGCGCTCCACGCGGAGAAGCTCTCAGCTCCTAGAAGCCCTGCAGAAGCCGGAGCGCAAGAAGATGCGCAAGGATGATGGACCCTCTAAAACAGTCAATCTGTCGGCCTTCAGTCAGAGCTCAAACGTCCGCCCCGCCCCGCCCGCCCGCTCCCAAGGCCCCCCGCCCCGTCCCTCACGTCAATGTCATCCGTCTTGGTGCACACAAAGGTGATGTTGTCCAGCTGACCGTCCATCATCAGCCGCCGCCGGAAGCTGCTGCCCAACAAGTCCTGAGAGGGAGGCGGTGGTTTCGGATGGGGAGGGGAGGGGGCGGGTTTGGGGAGAGCGGGTAAGGAGGAAACACAGAGGGGGGGAGCGCTGGTATGTGGGGGTAGAAGGGTGAAGAGGGTAGTCACGTAGGGCTTCACATGAGCGGCAAAACACACATGAGCCACCACCTTACACCTTCCTGCAAGATGATGGATGGCTGCTGGATACCCCACCATGTACGTACGCTGCCAACAACACGGGTGTGCTACAAGCCGCACCTCCCACCGGGCACCCCATCCCCCACCCTCGGCAGTGTCTCATTACCGGTATATGTTTTTTTACCCCCACCCCCCCCACCTTTGCCGTCTTGTCGTCCACCGCCCGTGTGATGGCGGCCACCACCCACACCGCATTCAGCTTGCGCATGTAGGCCTCCGCCACCGCCCCGCGCGCCTCGTTGGCATCGCGCACGCCGGGCAGGTCAACCAGCACTGCACCCGCGGAAAGAAGCTGCGGAAAGGGGTGGAGGGGGAAGGGGGAAAAGAAGAACACCCAATGTGATGTTGGAGAGTGGGGAGGAGAGTGGAGAATGGAGGGAGGGATGGCGAGGGATGGAGGTAACATAGGGAGGGTAACTTCGCAAACTAGGATTGTCCGTCCGCATTAAGCTGGAAGGGAGGACGGATAGTGAAATTTTAGGGCTGTGCTCAGGCTTAGCTGTCCACCCCCCCGGGGGCCTACTCCTCCTCCCTCTCTCATCACCTACCTTCCAGTTGTGTTGTATCCTGCAGACCTTGACCAGCGGCCAGGCCTGCGCGCTGTCCGCCTGGTTGTGCGAGTCCACGTAGCGCCCGATCTCACGCCTGAGGGGGGAGGGCGGGGTGGGGGCGGGAGAGGGAGATGGTTGCAGGGGCAGGAGATGGAGGCAGGGCTAGTCGGTACGAGCGGCAGCAGTGCTGCATAGCTGCTAGCAAGCATGCAAGCAAGGACAGGACAGGTGGGACTGATATGACTTTGTTCGTTTGCTGGTCGTCACATGACAATAAATGTAAAGGCAGAGAGCGAGGGTAGGAAGACTAGGAACCCTGCCTATCCGTACAACAACAACCACGAATCAGAACCAACCTCATTCATGTCGTACCAGCCATGTCGTACCTGAAAGCCCTCCTGTCATGCTGCCGGATCTGCAGGGTGCTTCCCAGCAGGGCGGTCACGGCGCTGCGGGCCGCCCGCAGCCGCTCCAACGTAAGGCCCGGACGCCGGATGGCCTCCCTGCCGTACACCGCCTCCAACATCGCCTGCATGCCGCCGTACGAGGTACGACACACGTACGAGGTACGACACACGTACGAGGTACGACACACGTACGAGGTACGACACACGTACGAGGTACGACACACGTACGAGGTACGACACACGTACGACGTCGTACAATACAGCCGCATGGAGTACTTTGGAGTTGCTAGTGAGGTTGGACTCCCAGTTCTCTTTCGCAGCAGAAGCAACAGTCACCATGACATGCGTTCGACCTTTTCAACGCCAGGGACTGATGGATGACGGAGACAACCTGCCACATGCACCAACTACCTACGTGTACCTCCCCCTTCCTCACCTGCGCCGCCCCCGCCTCCGAGCGCGTGTTGCACTCCCCCGCGGTGCTGACCCGCAGCGTGCCGTCCTCCCCGCGCAGGTCCTCTACCAGTCGCTCCAGGTAGGGCAGCCACTCCTCCTGGGGGGGGGAGGGGCGTCAAAGACCATACCAAACCATGGAAAGGGGGGGAGGGGAGGTAGGGGGGAGGGGAGGGGAGGCAGGTGCAAGAGGGGAGGGGAGGCAGGTGCATGAGGGAGGGGAGACAGGTGCAGGAGGGGAGGGGAGGCAGGTGCATGAGGGAGGGGAGACAGGTGCAGGAGGGGAGAGGAGGCAGGTGCAGGAGGGAGGGGAGGCAGGTGCAGGAGGGAGGGGAGGGGGGCAAGGTGGTGCAGCGGAGGGGAGGCAGGCGGGAGCCGCGTCAAAGAGCAACCACATTACAGGGCAATTCACAAGCTGAGGCAAAGCAATGGGGATACCCCCTCCACCTGCCCGCACAGCTCACCAACCCGCCCCCCCCCCCGCCCCCCCCCCCCGCTCCCACCTTGCTCAGGAACTCCACGGCTGCCTGGTAGGCGGGCGAGGGGTTGTACGACACCTCGATGGGGCAGCCCGTGGAGGCGCGCATGCCGTTGGTGGGCAGGATGTCCTCCTCACCCAGCAGCGCGTTCAGCAGACTGGACTTGCCTGGCGGGGGGAGGGGGGGCGGAGGGGAGTGGGGCGAGAGTCGCGGCGCGGATTAGTGTGCCCCTGGCTCCTTCTCGCTCCCTCGCAATGTTTCGTATAAGGCTCTGAACGGACGCCCCCACCCCCATCCCACCTGCCCCCGTGTTGCCCACCACCCCAATGGTGGTCCGCGGCAGCTGGCAGCGCCCCCGCAACTCGCCCAGCTCCGCCCGCCACAGCCGCGACATCTCCGGGCCAGCCAGCGGGGAGGGCAGCTCGGGGCCCGTTGCGCCGGCCACCGCACCTCCGGCCACCGCAGCATTGGTGGTGTTGCTGCTGCCTGGAGCGCCTGCAGCGCCTACAGCAGCAGCAGCGGCGCCTGTGTGGGGTGAAAGCAAGAACGTGGAAGGAGGAAGTGGAACGGGCAACTGGGAAAGTGTCCACTGAGGCGTGTTGTATACTGGGCCGTACTCCGTACTCCGTATCCCACCTCACCCCGTTTGACTTGTCGCTGACCCCTCACCTCCTACCCCTCCCCCAGTTGTTTGCATTTCTTATATAATTTTCCCCCTCCCCTCAAGCCATCAGACCTTACCCGGCATCTGCTGTGGAAACAGCAGTGCATGCACGCTGCCAATGATCGCCTCGCACTCCGCCTGGGCATCCGGCTGACCATCGGAGGTCTTGGACTTGTGGCTGGGAGGCACAGGGCCCTCCTGCTGCTCTTGCTGCGGCTCTTGTACGACATCCGAGTCGTCATGCTGTACGACAGCGGATTCTGAGGGGGCGCCCGATCCTGGGGCCGCAGGGGGATGATCGGACGAGGGCTTTGCAGACAGGGTCGCTGCTTCTTCCGCAGGTTGTACGACACCCGCTTCGATTCCGGATCCTGGATCTGTCTCAGGCTGTTGTACGGTATCAGCTTGAACGGCTTCAACCATGGAAGCGTCCATGGGGCTCTCCTCTGCACGTGGGTGATCAAAACCTTCCACCGCCATCATTTCGGTATCAGGAGCTGCCGCCGCAACGGCAGGAGCAGCAACAGCAGGAGGAGGAGGGGCTGCGAAGGCCACGGGCCGAGAGGGGCCGGCTGCCTCAGTAGTTGCGATTACAGGCGTCTGAAGGGCACCGGCGGGGGCTCCGGGGGTAATAATGGGACTTGGGGCCTGATGCTGATGCTGTGGCTGTGCCTGCTGCTGAGGGAGGGTAATGGATGCGGATGCTGAGGGGAGTTGCCCCTCCTGTTGTTGTTGTTGAAGGGAGGAGGTTGAGGGAGGCATGGAGGCGGGCTCCAGGGGGCCGAGAGGGGCTTCTGCGGAGGCCGGCGGCTCCCCTTTGATGTGAGTCAGCAGCAGGGAGGGAGCTGGGTTGCCGCCTGCATGGGGTTCCAGGTTGCATGCGAGGGTTCACAGGTAAGTTAAGGGTGGCTGTCAAGCGGTTTTGACTTGGTTGTCAGTAGGGCGCGCGTGAGGGATAATGCTGGAAGAGTACAACGTGGTTGTGGCATGTCATGCACATGGCTAGAGCCCCAACCGCGCTTCATATGGGTAAGGCAGCCGCCCAACCCATATGACCTTGCATACCGTCTTGAGAGGAAGCCAGTGCGGGCGGGCGACCAGCGGTAGCTAAGTGGCCAGCAGGCGGCGGTGGAACCACATCTTGGCAGCTGGCTCGCGGTCCATCGAGCGCTAAAAATGTTTCCGATGCTTGGAACCCCGCGGCCGCAAGAGATTGCATTCCCTGCAAATGCAAACGTAGTAAAATTATTGGAACTAACAGAGTTAATGATTTCCTGTCTTCGCCAATGGATGTTGGCGACTTGTCTTTGACCACCACCAAGGCGACGAACGGCGTCTGTTTAAGGCTCACATTCAGCTGAGCGTTAATGCTACGCGACCATTAGCCTACCAGTTGCGCGTCTCCTTCAGAAGCGCACAGTAGGTATGCGACATCCGGCTCATCGGGCGGTGCGGGAGCTCCAGCGTCTCCAAAGACGACCTCGTCGCCAACACCAACAAAGACTCCAACTCCCCTTGATAGACTGACGCATTCGCCGCTAGCGCGCTGGCACCAGGCCGTCGCATTGCGCGCGAGAAGGATGACCTGCACACCTTCGACTGTGCCAGGAGCCGGCACCACCGACAACGCCTTAAGCAAGTTGGCTTTAGGCAAGTGTGTTGTCAAAGGAAGGTTAAATGTAGAGGGAGCATCAGGCGGGTGACCCGCTCCAGTTGCCTCGAAGTGGAGCATCATTGCAGACGCATAATAAGTTTAGTAGTTCGAGGAACTCACGGTAGGCTTATTCCTACTTCAGCGTAAAACGATTGCAGTTGAGTCAATTCGCAATGAGCGGGAGCGAGAGAGACGCACCCGCCAACGAATTTGAAAGGTTTCGGAGGTGAAGAGTATTGAGCGGCGCCAAACACAAGCACTTCACCTTGCAGGGCTAATTAAAAGTGCCTATTAGGGCTTTCCTTCGGACTTTTGCAAGAGGGCGTTAATTGTTCTTCGGAAAACCCAACGTTCGACGGTTGCAACACCGCAGCACAAGCGACAATACCATTGAGGCACATATGTACCAGCAGCGATATCAAAACATTTTGGGTTCTTTTATTTGCAATCGTTTCGCTAGTACACCAAGGTCGGGTTTGTCGACGGTCCGGGCGCAGTGGGCTTGCACAGCGTACAGTAACCCTAACAGCCCAGGTAGACCAGCTCAGCATCCAGGCATACGTAAGCAAAATTTCTTGCTCGGGAAGCGGGCAAATGGCGCTCTTGAACATTGTTCCTTGTCGCCCCATCTTCTCGATGGCATCCGGAACCCCTGGCTTGGAGGCAACTCTGTTGTCTTTCTTTGAGGTCGTGATGCATCCCGACCTACACACCAGACATTGCGCAATCCTCCAATCGCCTTTGCATATCGTACCGGTAAGTAAGGCTCCAGTGATGCCAGTCCTGGCCATTATCTAGCGCTGGGACTGCCTTTCTGACTTGGAACTACCTATCGCCACTGAATGCCATTCCTGACACTTCATCCGTATACGGTGTTTGGCCGCCAGCCGACATCTACCACCAGGCGTTGCGTTCCTCTGCCGTACAATAGAACCCCTCCACACGTTGCTCTAGACACCTCAGTACACACACACCTGTAACACCGACATGCGTCGTCAACCCACCACTCTTCTTACATCCAGCACCAGCTATTTAAGCAGTTATTGCGTTATGGTTCAGGTTTGGTTACCTCTGTTCTACCTCTTTTTGCTTGTACTTGCGGTTCACATGCGACCCTATCCCAACTGCTTGCTCTTGTTTCCGCTCTACTACACACACAACCGTAACAAATTGCAGCTTACCCGCAGTTCCTTACAACACCTGCTGGTCATGTCAACATCCGGGTGCAGGCAGTTGACATCGTCATCCCCCACACATGCACTTCGTAGCCTTTCCGGTCCTTAATGACTCTCCCCGACCGGTAGCCCTTGGAGTATCCGAACCTCAAACAAATCCAAACCAAGGTGCAAACCCACACGTCAAACAGCCTGGTTCTCCATTCGTTCCAGCCCGTCCTCTCGTGTCAATAGCCATAACAACGAGACTACAGCGTTTATTGGAGGCTTCCTTCACAACGTTACCAACCAGACGTCCCAACAACCGCTAACAACACCAGCCGCCAACTCCCAACCACCAGAGCCGCCCTACACAGCTTCCTACCGGCCCCCTAGTGCTATGGCGTCCCCATGCTTGCAACCTGCACCTTCACCTCCTCCGCCCGCAAGCTACGAAAAGGCGTTACTGCAGATGTCAGGATCGCGAGTGCACGTGCTTACATCACCCCCCCTCCCCCTGCTGCCCCCAGCCGCGGGTACACCGCCTCATGCAGGAACGCCACCTCCCGCTGCCACAGCTCAGCGCGGCGCTGCGGGTCACCGCACAGCGGCCGCACCTAGCAGGGCAGCAGGGAGGAGGGGGGCAGGGGAGCAGGAGCGGAGACGTGAGTACATGCACAGAGAGGTGTGTGCCTGTTGAAAAGCCGTGTGCTTCTGTGGTCGGCCCGGGCATTACATGTTACGTGTCACCCTCCACCCGCCCCTACCCTTCGCAGTCCCTACCTTTTGGCAGGACAGCTGCCACTCCTTGCGTCGCTTGGCGGGGCCGCTGGGCCCGGACAGGCTGGCGGTGGTGGCAGCGGAGGCGAGGCTGCAGGTGCTGCCAGCGCGCTGGGACTCCTCCTCCTGCAGGCCGCGGAGGGCTGCTGCATGCAGGGGGGGGGCAGTGCGGATGGGGAAGCACACGCAGAAAGGAAGTGGAAGAGGTAAGAGGGACTTAGAAGGATGGCTACCGATATTGCCGCAAGGTGGTAAGGGCCATAGGGACCTTGTCGCTCTTGCCTTCATCCTTTTTGGATGCACGTTTGAAGCCCAGCTTGCCCACGACTAGCACGTATTGACCCTGCAGGCGCTGATTAGCGCTAGACCTGCTGCATACGGTGATAGGCGGCCCCGTGCCATCTGTAACCTCAAAGGATGACTCGTCCGCGTTAACTACGTGCCCCTGCGACCGGACCGGGAGGGTAGCTGGGAGGCAGTTATGGCTTGCAGTAAGTTGTCACCCCAGGCAAGGCGATGGCTGACCTGGACCCAGGCCCTTTGAAACGCCAATCCATGAGGAGTTCTGAACTTTTTGTCTTGGCCGGCGACTAGTTGTGGGAGATGTCCTATAAGGAGCTTGATGGCAGCAGACATGGTTATTAGCGCATGATGGTGTTGCGAAAACCAAACTTGTCGACAGGGGAGGGAACATCAGTATCTATGCGCACAGATGCAAGGCCAGGTTCTGTGGTATGTTAGAATCGCGCGGTGCTTGGGCTGCCGGATCCAGATAGTTTATGTCGTTCAGGGCTTCAGGCTGTCCCTTCGCTTGGGAGACAATGAATATAAGCCCATAGTGATTTAAAGTGGCTTTTCTTCTATTAAATGCTGCTTTTGTATTCCTAAGTGCTTCTTCCTTCGCCTTGGCGGGAACTGAGGTCACAGGCCCTGCGCAAGGGCGATAGGTAGCAGCCATGCCTTCTGAATCCAGTACAAAATGGGAGGATATGGTACTTGGAGCGCTGAAGTTACTCGACGTTGAAGGCTCCTTCGCTTGGATTGGTGGACATGACGACAACGATGTCACCGGGCCCCTTCCAGCTTTGACCGTGACGGGCGTCGGACACATCTCTTTGCCCATTGGTGCTACCCATGCGGCTTCACTGCTTGCAGCTGGTGAGCCCGCCCCTTACGGCCGGGGCTTTGACACAGTGCTGGACACCGCGGTTCGGCGCGCAAGCCAGTTGGATGCAGAACGTGTTATCATCGCCCCCGAATGGCAGCCAACACTGCATAAGATTACCAAAGGTAAGTCCTGCCATGAGGCTGTAGGGGCTTTAGTGCAGCGTGTGCATACCGACACTCAATCCTACGATTAACGAATGACTATCATTAATGAATGGATGCAAGCGGGCATCAAGCAAGTCTACTCCCGTCCTTCACCCTTAAAACTCATACGAAAGAAATAAGGCAACCATTTGCTTATCCTCTCCCTTGCTCCTCCTCCCCTGCCCCCATCTCCCCAGCCGCCGCCTCGGCTCTGGGCCTGCCTGCCGCCTCCGCCTCCTCCGTCCGCGCGCACCTCTACAAGCTGCTGCTGTACGAGCCGGGTGGCCACTTTGCGCCGCATCGCGACACGGAGAAGGAGCCGGGCATGTTCGGCACGCTGCTGGTCCAGCTGCCCGTGCAGGGTGGTCACACGGGCGGCAGGCTGCGCATCGCACACGGGGGCAGGCAGGTGGTCTGGGACACGGCCGCAGCAGCCAGCAGCCGCACCTCCCCCCAGCTGAGCTACGCCGCCTTCTACGCCGACTGCGAGCACGAGCTGAGTGCGGTGGGGTCGGGGCTGCAGGCGGTGCTGGTGTTCAACCTGGTGAGGGGCGAGCCGGGGCCGCAGCGGAGGCCGCCGGGGGGCGTGGAGGCAGCGGCGGAGGCGCTGGAGGCGGCGGTGAGGGTCTGGGAGCAGCGACTGCGGGGGGACGAGGAGAAGGAGGAGGAGGCGGGAGAAGACGAGGAGGAGGACAGCGAGGAGGGAAGCAAGGAGCAGGCAGGCAGCCATGAAGAAGCATGCGAGGAGGAGCAGGAACAGGTCAGCAAGGAGGAGGCGCTCAAGGCTGTGCGGCTGGTACCGCTGGAGTATCAGTACACGGAGAAGAACCTGGGCTTCGGGAAGCTGAAGGGTCGCGACGCGGCTGTGGTTGGTCTGCTGCGCGGCTGCGAGGCGCTAGAGGTGCACCTGGCCCTGGTCACCAAGAGGGTGTACGGTACTGTGGATCATCAGGATTGGATGGCCCGGCACTTCAGCCGTGGAGGCCGCCGCCGGGGTCGTGATCGCAGCAGCAAGCGCTGCAAGAAAGTGCGGAACAGTGGATATTGCTTTGGAGAGTGCGAGTCTGATTACTACTCCAACAGCGAGGACGATGGGGGTTCTGACGATGAAAGTGATGACTCGGAAGCCTGCATGGGTGATGTTATCGAGATTGACTTCACCACAAAGGTAATGGTCTCACGGTCTGGCCGCCCTGTTGATTACTCCCGCCTGCACCTCAACCTTGACGAGCTGTCGCTAGACAGCGAGGACCCCCTGTTTGAGGAGGGTGGCTTCATGAGCTGCGAGCCCGATGAGCGGCATTACCAGGGCTACACTGGCAACGCCGGGCCAACACTGGAGTACTTCTACCATGCAGCTGCTGCGGTCATCTGGCCTCGAAGCTGCAGTCGGGTGCTGGCGAAGGCGGCAGGCTTGGATGCAACGCTGGATTTGCTGGCGCGGAGGGTCAAGGAGCTGGGGCGGCGGTTGCAGGTGCAGCAGGAGGAGCAGCAGGAGCAGGCGCGGATGCGGGAGCAGCAGGAGCAGGAAGTGCGGGAGCGGCAGCCGTTGCAGCCCATGCAGCAGCAGCAGCCACAGCAGAGACAACGGGAGCAGCCACAGGGAAAGCAGCCAGCCGCACCGCCAGGAGAATCCGCGGCTCCGGCGGCCTATGTAGCAGCAACCACTGGGACGGCTGCAGTACCCGTACGACAGGAGCCGCTCCGGCAGCACCAGCAGCAAAAGCTGCAGCAACTGCGCCAGGAGGTCCTCCAACTCCTCGACCACGTCCTGTCAGTGCTGGGCAAGAAGGAGTCCCCGGGCAGCGCTGGGACACGCCTAGAGAGCTCAGTCGTCATGCGGCTCGAGCCCTTCAGGTCCTCACCTCGGCCCCCATGCTCTCACTGCTGGGTGGCGCCGCCGCGTCAGTAGCCCGGCCTTCGCGCCTAGTCCAGGCCTTGGCTCGCTCTCCTGAGGGTCTGACATCCAGGCAGGTGGTCCCCGCCCTGGCAGCCGCTGCAGCCACACTCTCAGACCCGGGCTTCGATGAGGCTGTGGTAGCGCTGGTGCGCAGCCAGGTGCTGCAGCTAGGATCTGTGCAGGGCTGCATGCAGCTGGCAACGGAGGCGGCTGCACCCCCGGGCCTGCGCCGTCGCATGGCTGGTGTGCTGCTGGACGCCCTGTTTGGGACTCCCACGGGGGCTGGGGGTGGTGGTGGGGGTGGAGGTGGAAGTGGAGGTGGGCGGTTCGCCCGCCTTGCCTCCCCCGACGTGTGCCGGCTGGCGGCTCTGGTGTGCTGCGGCGAGCCCTGGTGGCGCGAGCAGCTGCCTAGGTTTGCGGATGCGGTACTGGCGCGAGGGGATAGCCAGTCGCTGCTGAGGGAGCTGCTGAGGCTGCCGGAGGTGGCGAGGGCGGTGACAGCGGGGGTGCCGCAGATGCGGGCGCTGGCCGAAGCCCGCTTGGTGGCCCTGGAGAGGCAGGTCGGGGCGGGTCCGCCGGTCTTCAGCTGGGCCCAGCCCAAGGCGACCTTTGTGTCGCATTACCCCCAGGTGCAGGCCTTCCTCCGCGGCCCGGAGCGGAGTATGAAGTTTGTGGGGATCTTCAATGACGTACGGCATGCGCGGAACTGGGCGAACAAATACTTTGGCGAGGATGGCCAGGGCGGTAGCGGGTACAGTGCGGAAGCGGAGCCGGGTGGTCAGGGCCGAGCTGCGTACTGCGTGGTGACTAAGACCCGGCGGGTGTACGAGCAGCAGGTAGGGGAGTACGAGCAGGCGAAGGAGGAGCTCCAGGAGCTGCGGGGCCTCCTGATCAGGGCTCAGCAGCAGCAGGAACTGCTGTTGCGGCAACAGCAGCAACAGCAGCTGTTGCTGCAGCGGCAGCACCAGGAACAGGTAATGCTCCAGGAGCAGCAGCGGCGGGAGCAGCAGGGGTTGCTGGAACAACAGCAGCGGGAACAGGAGGTGCTACTGCAGCAGCAGCAGCAGGCGCCGTTGCGCCAGCAGCAGGGGCTAACGGCGGCAACGGCAGCGATGTTGCAAGCGGCAGCTGCAACAAGAGCAGCAACAGCGGCTACAGCTGGCGGTGGTATCATGATGCCGATGGTGGTAGCGCCAACCGGGCAGCTGCCAATGCCACACAGCCAGCAGCAGCTGGTGCTGGCATCCACGCCAGGACTGATGTCTACGGGTCCTGCTGCTGCTGCTGTCCCTGCTGCTGCCGGGCTGCTGCAGCTCGCGGCGCCCATGCAGGCGGGTAGCGCCGCGCAGGCCGCCCTCACAGCACCCATGCAGGCCGCCCTCACAGCACCCATGCAGGCCGCCCTCACAGCACCCATGCAGGCGGCCCTCACAGCACCCATGCAGGCGGCCCTCACAGCACCCATGCAGGCCGCCCTCACAGCACCCATGCAGGCCGCCCTCACAGCACCCATGCAGGCCGGCCTCACAGCACCCATGCAGGCCGCCCTCACAGCACCCATGCAGGCCGCCCTCACAGCACCCATGCAGGCCGCCCTCACAGCACCCATGCAGGCCGCCCTCACAGCACCCATGCAGGCGGCCCTCACAGCACCCATGCAGGCCGCCCTCACAGCACCCATGCAGGCCGCCCTCACAGCACCCATGCAGGCGGCCCTCACAGCACCCATGCAGGCGGCCCTCACAGCACCCATGCAGGCGGCCCTCACAGCACCCATGCAGGCCGCCCTCACAGCACCCATGCAGGCCGCCCTCACAGCACCCATGCAGGCCGCCCTCACAGCACCCATGCAGGCGGCCCTCACAGCACCCATGCAGGCCGCCTTCACAGCACCCATGCAGGCCGCCCTCACAGCACCCATGCAGGCGGCCCTCACAGCACCCATGCAGGCCGCCCTCACAGCACCCATGCAGGCGGCCCTCACAGCACCCATGCAGGCCGCCCTCACAGCACCCATGCAGGCGGCCCTCACAGCACCCATGCAGGCGGCCCTCACAGCACCCATGCAGGCGGCCCTCACAGCACCCATGCAGGCGGCCCTCACAGCACCCATGCAGGCGGCCCTCACAGCACCCATGCAGGCCGCCCTCACAGCACCCATGCAGGCGGCCCTCACAGCACCCATGCAGGCCGCCCTCACAGCACCCATGCAGGCCGCCCTCACAGCACCCATGCAGGCCGCCCTAGCGATGCACATGCAAATGCAGGCCGGTATGCGCGCTGTTCCTCCCATGCATGAGAACAACGTGGCAGCTGCAACAGCAGCTCGGGTGCGGGAACGGGGGCCCGCAGCAGCAGCAATGTCGGGAGTGGTGGTGGATATGACGGAGAAGTCAGACTGAGGGGCTAGGGCGGGGAGGGGGAAGCAGCTTGGGGGGCTTTTGTGTCGTACATATGGCGGGCTTGGAAGTGGTGATGCGGGATCCAGGGTTAGGGTCCTCCATAGGATAGTCATAGCCGTGTGCGGATGTTATCCCGGGAGCCGCTGGGGAGTGCACAGCGTTTCCTTCACACGCAAACAAAGACAGTTGCATTGCAGGAGGTGGGTTTCCATGCCGGCAATGCATTACCTGCGCTTCATGCCTCGCATGTGCGCGGGGTAGCTGTGATTCATGCTGCTGCCATAACCATACACTGTGAGAGGTGTTCCTGGTTTGCGTTCGTTGGAAGAGAAGTATTTAGTTGCCGGCAAACATTACCGCCTGTCCTGGCCTGCCAAAGTGATTTAATGTCTGTTCGTGTCAGGTGTGCGGATGACCACATCCCGGGGGCGGGATGGGTGGGTTAGATAGTCACTATTGCGGCAACGCTTAAAGTGGGAGCACGCTAGGGGCTGACGGGATGTTCGCAGCTCAGGAGTAAGTTGGCGCCTGGGTGAGAGATGATAGCTCCTAGAGATGTTTCAAGTTTGACGAACACACCTCCGGCCGCATTTTCTGCATTTTCTTCTCGGCCGTCTGCCGCCAAAAGCAGTGAGTGTATGGAGGACTTGGTTGGCCCGGTGCGGCCTGGAGCTGTCCTCGAGCGTCCGTTCACATTCCTCTATCGCTATGCTGCGCCTCCGTTGTAACTTCAGCAATAGTAACATATTTTACGCGATGTATGATTGCAATTGTAATTAGGTCCCGTAGCTACTACTGGTAGGGTTGCAACATGCATAACCAACTGCCGCGGTGCGTCCCAGACGAACCGTCTGACAGAACATGTTAAGCAGCCAGCGAAAGGTGTGGTCCTGAATCTGTGGTCTTTACAGTGACATGTTCTTTCGTTCTTATGTCCCAATGCTTTCAGCTACCGGCATCTATTTATCCTAGCACCGAACTTCTACGGAGCAGCAGCTAGACTTTTGCAAACCATGAGCCTTAACAAGGACTACCAATCCGAAAAACGTCTGTCTTCTTCTATTCCAAGCTTTTCTTTTGCTTTAAGCGTTGAAGCCTCTTCGACCGAGGAACATGAAGCCCTCATGGGCCCGAACCCACTACGTTGGGCTGCCAGGCAAAGCGCACTGAGGAGGTTATTGCGAGGCTGTGGAGCAACGGTGTTGGTCTTCATAGTTGTGCTAAGCATGTAAGTCGGGGGTGCCGCATGCGACTCGGTCGCAACAGACGGCATCCCCACATACACACTACTCCATTCCTGCCTTAACGGCTATACATAATTGCCAAATGCTTCTCCCTTTACATACACACAAGGTTGTAAACGGTTAAGTAAGACCCATACGCCCTGGTGTACAATTGGGCCAATTGCGTATGCGTTCCTAAACATGCTCGCAGTTTGACCTACGACAAGTGGGGCTACTTGGTCTGGCCTCCGACGAAGGGGCCAACACCCTCCAGCCTCCAACAGCAACAGCCAGGTAGGAATTTAGGGGCTTCCCAGCAAGGTGCTGCTACGAAGCTGTACGGCCTCGAACGCTGTGGCGTGTATGTTGGCTGTACGGCCCAGACTCGGCCTGCGTGAGCAGCGGTCACGCCTGTCGGAATGCGGTGTACGTATCTGCACTACCAGTATCCGCGCTGCGGAGACTCCATAGCCACACACTTTGCCGATTACCGTACAGTTTTGACCCGCGGCCGTACATACGGTACGGCAGTGGAGCCCGCCAAGGTTGACACGCGCATACGTGCACCTTCCTTGTGCATGCGTCAAGTCATACCTGTGTCTAGGTTCGTTACGGTAACACAAGCATGGCCGTTACATTGGTTTCCTCATATGTGTGCTTGTGTTGCGTCCTGCTGTCCTGTTTCTGGCTGCAGCAGCCGAGTCGTCCGCAGGGCAGCTGCCGGCCGCCCTGCAGCACGAGCCGGTTGCAGCCCAGCAGGTGACCCGGCGGGTCGTTCGGATCCTGGCGGGCACCTACAACAAGACCAAGGTGGGGTTGGGTGGACCTGCGAGCGCCGTACGCCCCCTGGCTGCTGTTAGGTGACTGCTGGGAGGTGGGGGGCGTGTGCAGCTGTGCAGCCAGCTGCAAGGAGGGGGGTGGGGGCCGCACATGCGCCATGCGTGTGTTTGCACTCTTGCGCGCCTTGCCTCCACCCCATCCACCACCCTCTGCCCCATCACCTGTGCACACACACTACCCGTGTACAGCAACTCTTCGCCCCCCTCATCGTATCCTCGACATGCGTGCCTGCTCGCCCTCTGCTGCTCCCATCGCCGCAGTTCCAAACCCTAGCCTTCAATGGCAGCAAATGGGGCCCCACGCTGCGCCTCATTCTGGGACAGTCCTACCAGATCGACGTCACCAACGTGGACATTGACCCAGGGGTCACCGTCCACTGGCATGGCTTGGACCAACTGAACAACGCAGCAGCTGACGGTACCGCGGGCCTCACCCAGACACCCATTTGGGTGGGTGAGACGTACCGGTATAACTTCAGCGCGTCGCCTGCAGGAACGCACTGGTACCATTCCCACATGGATGGACAGTTTGGCGATGGTTTGCGGGGGCCGTTGGTGGTTGTGGATCCAGAGGATCCGTTGGCGGACCTGTACGACGAAGATCTCGAGGATCACGTGATGCTGCTGGCAGACGTGTTTGGCGTTACGGTGGCGCAGCAGTTGCAGGCGTTACAAAAGTACGGCATGTCTGGTATGGGGCCGGGCATGGAGGGCATGGAGGATATGGGGCCGGGTGGTGGCGGAGGGGTCGGCATGCGAAGGAGAGCAAGCAGCAGCGGTGGCAGCAGCGGTGGCAGCAGCGGTGGCAGCAGCGGTGGCAGCAGCGGTGGCAGCAGCAGTGAGGGCGGTACGTATGAGGGAAGCAGCATGGGTCGCAGATTGAGTGCAAGTGCCGCCGCCGCAGCTGCCGTCAGCATTTCCCAACGTCGAGCGTTGACATCGCACACCGACGAGCATCAGCAGCAGCAGCAGCAGCAGCAGCAGCAAGCGGAACAGCAACCGCAGCAGGACGAAGAGAAAGTCGAGGACGAGGAGGCGATGGATATGACGCCCCTGTGCCCCCCGGAGGTGCTTGATCAGGACATATCGGATGCGCCCTGGTACGCTGCGGAAGTAAGTGTTGCAGCAGCAAGCGGGTGGGGACGGGGCTAGGGCAGGGGGACCCGGCATGAACCCGTAATGGCGGGGACACCATATATATTAGGGTAATTATACTGGGCAGTAACAGGAGTAGCATGAGTGGGTGACATAGCGGTACCTGTCAGCCCTGCAGGTACCTCCACACCCCTAGTCCTACCTCAGTACCTGCCGGGGGGTGGCTGCGATGGGGCTCTCCAGCTCCAGCTTCTGGCTCCGACAGAGCCCCTGACTTGACTTTAGTTGCATGCAGCGGTTGGGCATCGCAAAGAGCAGGGATTACGGCGACCAGCGCTAACAATACCGGTAGAGATAAGAAGAAGTCACAAGGTCAACCTCTATCCTCCATGCTTCATTGCTACTCCTGGTGCTGCTGCAGGTCAACGGCGAGTCCTTCACCACCACCGGCCGGGCTGCCGTGTTCCGGGTGCACCCCGGTCGGCGCTACCGCTTCCGAGTCATCGGCGGCATGTCCTCATGGGCGCTCAAGGTGGGTGTGGAGCGGCATGGCGTGACGCTGATAGCGCTGGATGGGCGGCCCATCGCACCGGCAGCCGCGCAGTCGTTCCTGCTGACGTCGGGGGAGCGAGTGGACTTTGTGCTGACGGCAGGCGAGTGCTTGGGAGGGAGGGAGGGATTACCTGAAGTACGGGGGACTTGGGGGGAAGTGCAGTGGTACTGCGGGATACCGGTATCGTTCCAGTGGACAGAGCACAACACGCATACTTACCGGTATTTAAACCAATGATTGTTACATCGGTTCTCTATAACAGTTACGGTATTTAGTGGTAACTTAACCTTTCTCCTTTGTGTTGTGTTGCTCGCACGAACACGCAGACCAACCCGTCGGTAACTACTGGATAAACGTGAGCACCCTGCACGGCATGAACTCCCCCGCAATCCTGTCGTACGAGGGAGCTCCCGACCCGCGGACCGACCCGCGGGTCGCTGCTGCCGCCTACACCCGCAACCTCACCTGCAGCAGCGGGGTGGGCGGCCAGGAGGGCTTCCTGGACCTTAAGAATGCGACCCTGCAAGCGGGCCCCGGCGTCCCGCCTCCTCCGCAGGTGGGTTGGTGCTGCGGGTTGCTATAGTCACGTGTCACGTGCACTTTCCCCTTCAACCACCAACCCCCGTTTCTCTTTACTTCCCCGCTTCCCGAGTCTTGTACGACACCTCTTTCATTCCCCTCTGCCTTCCGGCCCTGCCTGCCTCCCCTGCCCGCCTGCCTCCCTCTAACCCCAGACCAGCAACAAGGCCTTCACGCTCTTCCTGGCCAATGCCGCCGAAGCCGCCTCCCAGATGCCCCCCGGCTTCCCCTCCCGAGCCGCCCAGCCGGGTAACGTCTACGGCCTACCGCCCTCTAGCGCCGCCCTCGCCTTCGCCCTCGCCTCCTCCTCCTTCTCCTCCTCCTCCTCCTCCTCCTCTGGCCTGCTGCCCGAGGGAGCTACTGCGGCTGCTGCGGCTGCTGCGAACGGCTCCAGCACCGCCACCACCCCCTCACCTGCTGCTGCTGCTGCCGCCAGCTGTCCGCGCCTGGCGGATGGGCGGCCCACCAGGTACTGCTGGTCCATCAATTGGAACGTCTTCCAGCAGCCCGCCTCGCTGCCAATGCTTGCCCTGATGACGTCAGCAGCAGCAGTCCCGCCCCCCGCATCCCGTGTTGGTACTGGGAGTCCGCATGACGTCAACGGCAGCAGGAGCACCAGCACCCGCAGCACTGCAGGTGACCAGGCGGGAAGCAGCAGCAACAGCAGCTCCCCCAACGTGGGAGGTGGTGGAGGAGGTGGCGGTGACGCCAGCTACCACATCCTGATAGACCAGGGTGATGTGGTGGACCTGCTGCTCGTCAACCCCTCCCGCATGACGCACCCCATGCACCTGCATGGAGCGGGATTCTGGGTGCTGGCGGCAGGCAATGGCAACATTCTAGATGCGGCAGATGACTCCCTGAACAGCAGCGTACTGCTCGGCAACAACAACAGCAGCAGCAACAGCAGCAGCAACCGCAAGAACAGCAGCAGCAGCAGCAGCAGCGGCGGCAACAAGAGCCTTAACTTTAACACGCACAATCCGGTGTTTAGAGACACGGTGCCGGTACCGCAAAGTGTTGCCATCCGTGCGGGCGACGGGAGTGAGCGGGTGGAGAACAACAGCCCCGAGGGTTATGGGTATGCCGTGATTCGACTGCGCGCGGATAACCCGGGGGTGTGGGCGTTCCACTGTCATGTGGACCTGCATGCGGCGTCGGGCATGTTCATGTATTTTACGGTTCGTCCGAAAGGTCCCTAAAGGGATCCTTTATTTCTTACTCTTGTCGTACGGTATACTCGTCATGATGCATGCGAGGGTTTGAATTGCTGTTGTCGTGGTCGTGGTATGGGCATTTGGGGCATGTCCAAACTAACATGTATTACAGAAAACAAAAGGTGTATTTAGCCACGCATGTGTCAAGTATTATTATGTTGAAGATATGTGATGTGTACATGTTTGCATGAGGATAAAAAGGACTGCATGTGTGCATCAGGAAGGGTGGCGCCCGGGATGTGTCGTGGATACGTCGTACACAACTGTACGACACAGTATGCGGCCATGTAATGGATTGTACGATAAGCAAGCAAGAGGGAGAAACTGTCTAAGTGCTCAAACGTGACCTTGTAAAGGCACCCCAACCTACTAAAATGGACGTTTCGGTGACCAGACAAGCCGCTAGGATAAGCCTGCTGGCTACTCCCCCCCTGTAATGTAATGCCCGTGCTGCTTCTCGTTCCTTCTGTTCATTCCACCGAGACCAGCTATACATAACCGCGCGGCATTCGCTCGGGCTTCAGGTCAGCTCAGCCCCACACAGACCCACGGGTCACCACCGCCACACATTGCCCCGGAGAGCTGCCTCCAACCTGCTCCTAGTCCCGAACACCCAACCACCATACAGCCCTACCTCATCAGGTCCTCATTACCTTGTCTCCACCTCCTATACCGCTCCTTCACCTGTCAAGTAACCTCCCTCTGCTGCCTTCTGCAGCCATCCTCTTTCCTCCGTGTACGGTAACAGTACCTTCAAACGGCTACGTCCGGTTACCTAGATGGATTGTGCACAGAACCTTTCCAATCCGGATGCTGCCGCTGTCACCACCAGACGATCAGTCCCCGCTACGCCCGCTGCTGCTCCGTCCTGCTGCTGCCGGCGCTACTTCTTGCCCCAACCGAAGAACCCCCAGCCGCCCCCCTCCTCCTCCTTGTCCCCCCGCTCCCCCTGCGCCGCCCTCCGCGCCGTCTCCCGCTGCTTCCAGATCTCCTTGCATTGGGCCGTGATGTCCGCGATCTGGTAGGGCAGGCAGGGGGGAGGGAGGGGCAGGGAGGGGGGAACGGAGGGGGGAACGGAGGGGGGAACGGAGGGGGGAACGGAGGGAGGGAACGGAGGGAGGGGGGGCCCACCCGGGTACGGGTGCAGGAATAGGCAGGGGTGCGGGTGTACGGGTGCAGGAAGCGCAGGAAGCGGAAGCACACACTCCAGGCCAGCTTGCTTACATACATGAAGGTGGAGATTACGGAGGCTGCCCCCCCGAGCCGATCACCCTGCACAAGACCAGCCCAATCCAGTCAACCCCTGCGGGCTGCTGCGACCTCTGCTGCCCCCCCTGCCCCTGCCCCCGCCCTGCCCCCTCCCATCTGCACCCACCCCACCTGCTCCTTACACAGTCCCGCTCCATCACCCTGCCCACCCCACCTGTTTCTTGGTGAGGTCGGGCCTCGCTCCCCCCGTGAGCAGCTTGGACACCACCTCCAGCGTGAAGGCGGGGTGCGCCGCCGCGAGCTGCGAGTAAGCCAGCGAGAACTCCTCGGGACTGGGGAGAGGGGGTTGGAGGGGGATGGAGGGAGGGATTGAGGTAGCAAGCAGGAGGGAAGGAGGGGAGGGTGGGAGCGACTCTAGGATCTATAGTACCCTCCGCACGGCCCCACGTGCGCTACTGTCTGTCTCTCCCTCACGCCCCCGCCCTCCCACCCCAACCCACACAATGGATATCCTTCTTTTACCCCCACCCCCCACCCCTCCCCCCTGTCCCCACCTCCCCGCCGCCAGCAGCTCGCGCATGTCCGCCAGCGCCCCCAGGTGGCGCCGCAACCGGTCGGCCTTGAGGTAGGGCTCGAAGAAGCCAGCCAGCTCGGACTCGTCAGCCGACATGCGCTTTAGGAGCGACTCGGAGGATTCCTACCGGGGGGGTGGGGAAGAGGATAACTCGCGGTCAGCCTTACTGTCAGACAGCCCCCAGTCCCACCCCACTCTTCCTTGACCCCCTCCCCAATCTTCGGACAGCTACGGACTGCTGGGTGCTGCAGCAATGCCCAACACATGCTATCCCCTTCCCCCCTCCCATCCCACCCCCCCTCTCCCACACCTCTCGCGCTCACCTGCGGCGGCGCCACTGCAAACATGTTGACCGCCCGCCTCACCAGCTCCTCCAGCGCCGCCTCCGCCACCCGCTTCAGGAAGGGCGGCGCCACCCAGGAGCGCAGGTCGGAGAAGTAGTCGCGCAGAGTGGCCAGCAGCGTGGCGGTGACACGACCTGGTTGGGGGGGAGGGGGGGAGAGGGAGGGGTAAACCAGGGGGGAGCAAAACACACACGCACACACATGACAGTACACAGTACGTTTCGCCTCGCGGCCAGTTATTTTAACACACATGGACAGTACGTTCGGACTCGTGGCCAGTTTCCTTAACACACACAATTCCGGCAATCACAGTACGCTCCGACTCGCCAATCGCGGCCATGTTTCTTAACAAGTGCGGACTTTTCTTCACGAAAAGGCTAACTTATTGTGACGAATAAGCCAGGAATGTGGAAGCAGGTTCCTGCGCACATGCCGTATAACGCTGGTGTCGTACAGCGATCGGCGGCTGGGCCTCTTTTCCGGCTCTCAGCGCACTGCCTTGTTAACTGCCGTTGTGTAGACTAATCTTTTGAGGCATTGTCCCTCTGCCGGGACGTGACCTCTATCTTCCCACCCGCCCACCCGGGCGGGCCGGGGGTTTATGGCTGTAGGTGTTTTCCCGTTCTTATACGGGTGTTTGGTGCAACAGACTGTCTTCACTGCCGGCCACTAGTTCACCTTAAACAATGGGGCGTTGACGAGGGAGGAGGGCTTTGCCATGGAGTTCTATGTTGCAACGAACGGTTTGCACTGGTTGCGTTGCAACGGACGTTTTGCAATGGTTATTTCACGATGGTTAGTTGGGGCACCGGTTGGTTGGCCTAGTTCGGGCACGACCTGCTGTAACATTACTGGCGTTTGAGGAACAATAAGCACACAAACACACACGCAAGCACACAGGTTCAGGCCAGCCCCCCCCCCTTCCCCCCTCACCGCTCAGGTACTCCGTGTTCGCGGTGCCGTACATCCCCTTTATCTGTGTGGACATGCCGGGGTCGTTCAGCAGCAGCTCCACAGCGCGCTGTGCGGCTGTCTTGGCCACCTCCAGGAAGCCGCGACACACCTCCTCCACGTCCAACTGCTCGCGGTAGCGCCGCTCGAGCTGCCGCTGGGGGGGGGGGAGAAGGGGAAAAAGGGGGAAGAGAGGAGGAAGGGCAGGGGGGCAGGGAGGAGGGGGGCAGGGAGTTTCTTGACGGCAGGCAGGGGATGCTGCTGCTCGGCGGCGGGCGGCGGCGACACAGGTGGGCTCATCCATCCAAGATCCAGCCAGCATCCCTCCCCCCACACCCTCTGATGCCCGTTCTCCTCCTGCTCACCCCCTCCCCTCATCCCCCCCCACACACACCTGCACGTCCTCTGCAAACGCCAGGCTCTGGTCGTAGCACGTCACGTTATTGTTCAGGAAGGCAATCGCCATCTCCAACGATAACGGCCGGAGCACCCCTGATGCCGCTCCTCCTGCTCCCGGGTTTCCGCGGCTCACTTTATCTAATCCCGCACCCGCAGACTCCTTGCCTGCTGCTGCCGCCGCAGCTTCCTTGCCTGTCGCGTCCTTCCCTGCTGCCGCCCCTCCCGCCCCCGCCCCCCCTGCCAGCAGCCCCAGGCGCCCCGCCGCCCCGCCCCGCAGCACCTCCTTCTGCGCCTCTTGGAACCCGCGCATCACCCGCAGAGCCGTGCGGGCGGTCTGGGGGCAAGGGGGGCGGCAGGGCGAGGAGGGGAAAGGGTGGAGAAGGGGGGAAGCTGTAGTGGAGGTAAGCAGGGAGGGGGTTGGGGGCAGGGTGGCAGGGAGTTGGGAAGTAGGCAGGAACGGGATGCACCGGGGAGGGAGGGAGTTAGCAACACATGCGGGCTTCCCCCCCTTAAGACTCGCGGCCAGTTTCCGTAAAACACATACATACACACACAAAACACACACGCCCCCTTCCTCCCCCTACCTGGAACATGACCTCCCCGTGGTCGTTCAGCGCCTCAATGATGGCGATCTGCTGGTTGAGGATGCGGAAGAAGTCCACCGCACCCAGCGTGCACAGCGTGCCGTCGGGGGCCTGCTTGGGCTCGCTCTGGGGGGGGAGGTGGGAGGGGAGATTTGGGGTGGAGGGTAAAGAGGAGGGGTGACACGGGTGGTAGTGAGTGCGGTTGCAAGGGCGGTTGGGCCAGCGCAACAGAACGCTAAGGAGTCATGGATTGGGGCATTGCAGGCGCCACCCTGCCCCTCCTAATTCCCCTTCTCACCCCTCCAGCGCCCCCGCCCAACCGTCTCCCCTCCCCCCCCCTCCTCCCCCTCCCCCACCTGCAGGTCCGCTGCCAGTATGTTTCGGTACCAGGCGGTGACGGTGCCCTCCATGCGCCCCACGTAGCTCTCCATCAGGACCACCTGGGGGGGGGAGGGGGGGAGGGGGGAAAATTATATAAGAAATGCAAACAACTAAAGTCCCAATCCCATATCCCGACTCATAAGGAGGGGAGGGGGGGGAAGAAGAACGCCCGGTGTGTGTGTTCAGAAAACTGGCCGCGAGTAGGAACGTACTGGGATGTCGGAAGATGTGTATGTGTGAGGGTGGGGAGGGAGGAGGGGAAGGGCAGGTTGGCAGCACCTTACCGTAGCCAAAGGAGCTTACCAGGCTCCTTCACATCCATCACCACACCCCCACATCCACCGCCTCAGTTTACCTACCTGCCACCCTACGCCTGCTCCCACCCTGCTACGCCTGCCACACCGGGGTTTTGCCCCCCTGCTCCCCCCCGCATGGTTTGGTATGGTCTTTGACCCCCCGCAACCCCTTCCCCCCCGCTCTCCCCTACTACTACCCCAACGCCCCCCCTCCTGCCTACCATGCCCGGCAGGCTGTCCGGGTCCGCTAGCGGTGAGGGCGGCAGGCGGATGAGGTCCTCATCCACCCCCAGGTTGCGAAGCGTGTCCTGGGGGGAGGATGGTTGGGGTGGGAAGGGGGAAGGCAGATGGAGGATGGCAGGAAGAGGGGCATGTGCAATACACACAGCGCCCCCGTCACCCCCGTCACTCCCCACCTCCCCCTGTCCCCCTCCCTGTCCCCCCTCCCTGTCCATTCCCCCACCCCTGTCCCCCCCCACCATGTATTTCTGCACCCAGTCCATCACTCGCAGCGCCCCCCGGGTGCTCATCTCCTCCGCAGCGCCGTGCCCCAACACGTCCACCACCGCCGCCAGCTGCACGTGGTAGGCCTGAAGGGGGGGGGAGGGGGATAAAGAGGAAACAACTAACTGACTGAGGGGGGGGAGGGGGAGGGGGAGGAGGGGGGTGAAGGCTGCACCATGCAATGGTGAGAACCGCGATGACACATACGCCCCACACAATACACCGTGTCACAGTGCGTTCCTACTCGCGGCCAGTTGTCACACATAAACACCCCGTTGATACACACCCTAATACACCTTACCGATACATAGCACGACTTCACGCTTGCTTGCGCCACCCATGCGCTCTACCATACATCCATGCACCCATGCATGTGCGCACCACCTCACATGCACCGGCAGTACGGCACGCCCGCCCTCCCCCGCTACCTGGAAGAGGCGGTTGAATATGTCGTACGAGGGCGGGAAGCAGGGCGACACGTAGTCGTACACGGCTGCCAGCTCGTCCGTTACGTCGTACAGTCCGTTGAGCAGCTCGTCCAGGTAGGAGTCCTCGTCGAACACCTCCTGAGGTGAGGGAGGGGAGGGGAGGGGAGGGTAGAGGGGAGGAGAGGGATGGGGAGAGTGGAGGAGAGGGAGGGGGAGAGTGGAGGAGAGAGAGGGGGAGAGTGGAGGAGTGATGATAGGTACTAGCACATACACACGCTCGTTCTGTGGGGACTTCATCTTTCGACAATCACAGTACGTTCCTACTCGCGGCCAGTTTTCTTAACACACGCTCATGCCCAGCGCAGCTTATTTAAACAAGTTCATGCGAAAACACATACACATACCACCATTTTCTTAATTCACGTGCCAACACACACACGTCTCCCCGCCCATTACCCCTCGCCTCCCCCCTTCCCCCCCTCACCTCCTCAATCACCTCCACCCCCCGCAGCTCCTCCGGGTCCGCCACCACCTCCTCCCGCCCGCCCACCACCCGCACCAGCCGCGACAGCCCCCCCAGGTAGTCCCGCACCTCCGACAGGATGACGTCACCGTTTTGGTCGTACTTGATCTGGGCGGGCGGGGGTACGGCAGGGGAGGGGAGAGCATGAGGAGCAGGAAAGGAGGAGGAGGCGTCGTAGCCCTCACAGGGGGCATAGTGCAATGCCTATACTGCCACACTGAGGGTCAGTTACGCCCTCCGGCGGTTCAAGCTAAAGCGCCCGCCGCACCCCGCACCCCGGCCCCCGCCCCCGCACCGTCTTGTTGGGTTTGTTGCAGTCCCTGGCCTGCTGCAGCAGCGCCTGGAACCTCGCCTCCGCCCCCGCGGTTAAACCCGCAAACAGCCGCTCCTTGTAGCGCCGCTGCGGCACCGCACCCATCTTCACTCGCCGGTACTCCGAATCCACCAGTTCCTGGGGGGGAGGGAGAGGAGGGAGAGAAGAGGGAGTTACGGGTACATCGAGCGGGGAGGAAGGAGAATTGGATTTAGCTTCTGATGGGGAGGTAGAAGAAAAGGTATTTGCGAAGGTGGCGTGGTTGTCAGTGGACAATTAGGAAGAGGGTTACCGTTACAGGAGGCACGGCATCCGCTTTGTGGCGCCTACCGTACATCGTCCCTCTTTCCCCAGCACCCCCCCTGCATGACCCCCCCCTGCATGGATCCACCACAACGCAACTCCCGTTTTGGACGCCACCATCACCGGGTCTTCCTATACGGTAGCTCTCGGTCCGTGTTTCCTCGCGGCTCAGTGCATGTAAAACCCCCCTTCCCCCAAGGATCAGGGCGTCTAAGACCCCCCCACCTGCAGCCCCCCCACCCCCCCTCCCCCCCACCTGCAGCTCCACCACCCTCACGCAGTCCACCAGCAGGGCCGGTCGCTCCCGCGCACACTCCACCAGTCCAGGCAGCGACAGCAGGGAGTCGAACAGTCGCGACTCGAAGCGAGCCATCACCTCGTCCACTCGGGCCAGGTAGGTGCGCAGCTCCGAAACCTCGGCTGCGGACTTGTTGCCCCTGCGTGCGGGTGTGCATGCATGGTAGTGCGTGAGGGTGTGTGCTTACCGAACCCGGTTTCAGGAGACGGAGAACGGCAAGTGAGCCACACATGCAACACGCAATCATGCTCTCTTGCATGACTTGCATACCCCTGCCCTCGTACCCAGCCCCCCCTCTGCAGATCCTTCCCCCACGGCACCCAGCCATCTCCTCCCTCCTGCTCCCTCCTTCCCCGCCCTCCCCGCCCCTTCCCACCTCTGCCACGCCTGCTTGGCGTTCTCCGCAGTCCCCGTCAGCAGCAGCAGCGCCTCGAAGGCCGGCACCAGCGCGCCCTCGTCCGCCTGCAGCAGCTCCCAGCAGCGGTCGGCGCGGTACGGCAGGTCCACGATGTCCTCGATCTCCGACAGAACCTGGGGGGAGGAGTGGAGCGGGGAGGGGAGGGGAGGGGAGGGTATGAGAGCAGGTATTGAGGCGAGTATAGGAGCAGGGAAGGGTAGATCCGGGCAATGGGTGTACGGTATATAGGAGTGGGTAGGTGGGCCCGGTGAGAGGGGGCGAGAGGGGCCAAGAGGAGGGGAGCCGGGAGCCCTTTCCTTGCAACCCTGGGCTTTACCCTACACCCTCTGAGCGCTGTCCCGCGTACGGCACCTTTTTAATGTTGCCGTGAGTGGTGGACAGTAGCTTAATTTTGTCATGGTGGTGAACCAGGTCCGCGCATTCGGAGCAGAGCCTGGAAAGGGGGCGGCAGGGTTAAAAGAAAGAAATAGAAATCCATGCATGAAACCCATGGTAGTTAGTGAGAAGCTGAGTAGTTGTACTGGTACGGCAACTGCAGCATATTGATTGTCGTACTTGTCGATTTTGTCGAGTGCTGCTTGCAATTTGGTGATATGCCGACGAGCCCGTTCTAGCAGGTCCATGCCCTGACGAATGGATTCCACCTGCGGAGGAAGGCGAGAAGGCGGCATTGGAAAGAGTGAGGGACTGATGGGATGTATAGGTGAAATTGGACTAGGAGCTATAAGGCTAGGTTTCAGGAGTATCGGGGCTGGGGACCTGGAGCTGGAGGAAAGTGGCGTGTTGGTTTGGAAGGGGACGGGAAAAGGGTGGTGCATGGAAGATTGGCATGTTTGCAGCATGTAAACGGACGAAGATTGCAGGCAGGAGGGTGAGGGGAGCGGCCTCGTGAGACTGGATATGCAGGGCAAGCTAGCATGAAAGGAAGATGGGAGAGGGGAAGAAGGGCGTGCGCATACTAATGCACTACATGGACTCAGGCTTGCACTGTTGGTACTCTTCCAACAAAAACAAAACCTATGCAATTAAAAACCTAAGGCAGGAGTCAAGGGTTCACCACACCTGCGACTGAACCATAGCGCTAAGCGTTGCCTTGGCGCTCCGATGCCGCGACTCATACTCGGCCGTGATATCCGCGAGGCGAGACAGGTCCTCGGGACGCTGTAGAAGCCTAAGAATTTCATTTATTCCCTGCTCCTTTGCTTGTAAAGCCTGCAGTTCAACAACTGCTTCAACAATCCTCAGACAGCTTGCTCTTATCCAACATTTCTACCGGACCTGTTCTGCTAGGTCAACAGCATCTGCCATTCCTACAAGTCCATAGGGTTGTCGGAGGATCACGACCTCCGACGCATGTTAGTCAGGTAGTGATGACCATGGTCGTCAGTAGCATACTGCAACACTATGGTTTCAGGTGGTGTACAGTAATGCTCGCACCGTTTAATTAGTTGTGAAACGGCGACTTTAATACATTCGGACAGGTACGAACTGCCCAGATAGTGGTTGCTGTTAGGAGAGCCATGGTTGGCGTAGGCAGCGCGTGTGTGGCCGCCGGGGATCTAGGCTACCCACAGGCCCTGCCTGCGGATACCTAAACTCTAGGGAGTTTCAACACATGCAAGGCCTGTGGATGCCCAAAGCAAGCGTGCAGAGTGCGGAAGCACACGAGTAACGCAAAGCTCGAGCGCGCGGAGCGGATTAACACATGGTGTAGCGCGAAACTTTTTTCCGCGGTGTGCGGGACCATCACAAGGCACCCCGCGCATCACGGTATGTATGCATGGTACCCCATCCAGGGCAGCACATGGGACTACCAACTGCGACCCAGCCCATACAAGGGCGCATGTCATCCGCCATGCAAGGCACGTCAGCCTTGAGGCCCACAAAAATGGTGGGGCAATCCTGAATGCCCGCCTGCCCTGCCTTCCTGCTCGGAACTTTCCATCTCTCTCACGGCGGCAAAACGCCTACAACCCCTCAGGCATGCAGCATGCTGCGCAGAAGCAGCAGCACCAGCAATGGCAGTAGCACGGAGCAGCGGCATCCCTCCTGCTCTTTTATCATGCATGCGTGTTCGGATAACACCCAAAACACCAGCCATTTTTAAGGATGTTTGATCCCGTTCTGAAGAGCACTTCCACATGCGCTACAAGCACTGAGTTGACTAGCTCGGAAGAAACACTCTCTAGAGATATGCGCGGGGAGTAGCGTAGCTATCAGTGCCTGCTGCTTACCCTCCCGCGGAAAACCACACATGCACGCACACACAAGCACACATAACCGCAAAGACTCATACGAAGAGCGAACTCTACACGTGGCTTGTGACATGCAAAAAAGTTGGCCGTCAACCAAGCCGAGCCCTTCAGTGTACCGTATACCGTACTCGCCACGCCAGGAAGTCCGTTAGACTGTTGTCGTTATTGCTGCTGCAGTTGTAGTGTACTCTGGAAACCCCAAACGACAGGATCAGGACTCCGAAAGCGTATTATACGCCTACAGACCAGCTGCCGATCCTCCCACGCAGGAGCACATCTATGATGAAAGTTTAATGAAGCCAAACCGGCAGGTCAGACAGGCTTAAACAGGTCCGAACACGCGACTGCCCGCAAGCGAAAACGGAATCAACTCGTCGCGTTATCCATAGCCCCGCGACTTACGTTGCGGCATGGACACGGACCACCCTTGCATAGCCACACAAGCACAGGCGCATCACATCACACTTGCACACCCACCCACACGTCTATCAAACGGATGCGAGTGCTGAGGTCTGTATTTTTAAGTACGCGGCCTGCCGCAATGCGACGCAAACAAAGAAATACCGTGCTGGTCGGGTGAGCGGAACGGTCCTTTGCCGACCCACACATTTTGCTTTTTTCACCCTCTACCAAAAACACCCTACCACACCAAAACCCGTCCTGCCACTACCGCCGCTAGCACACTGGAAACGGCGCTAAGAAGAGGCTAGACTACTACACTGACCTCACACAACCGTGTCTCAGAAAAGACTAGGGTAATACTACTCAAAATGACGGATGACAACCTGCGCCCGCTTGGGAAAGCGAATAGAACCAGCCACACGAACCAGAACACGCGCGTCTTGACACGACGGACGACGACGACGAGAACCAAAACCGTTTACTGCTCATATTTTCTTTTCTTTATATGTGCGCATATTACGGGTACTCTTCTCTCACCACCACCTCAGCCGGCATCTCGCGCCGACTTTGCGTTCTCCTGGTGAGCCATACACCAAAACCTGCGCTCAACCAGCAGCAGCTGTCACCTTCCGCCGACCCCTACACAGCTCTCTCCTCGTTCCATGCAACAAGGTGGACATGAGCCGACAGGAAAACAGGACAAGACCAAAGAAACACAAAACTAACTGTCTATAATCTGCAAAATAAGCCAAAGACAAAGTAGTTAACACTTTGCTGTGTGTCTGGAACTGGGGCCTTCCACATTTCCAGAGAAACGCGTCCTCTTCACGATTACCTGCAAAACCGTTGGCCAGCCCACGTGACGAGCAAGTTGCATGAAGGAGAATGCGCAAATGCGGGGGTACACATAGAAGGCAGCCTTCTTCGACCCATGGGTCTCACATCTGTAATATTCCCCTCATCCGCGTGACCGGCCGGCGCGGTCAGTACGCTGATTGTGCAGCATTATCAGCAGCAACGACGAGCACTCGCAGCGCGATAACGTCAGGACGAAGCCGACCTCCGCTAGCGCTGCCTCCCTTTCCCGGCCTCTCCTCAGGAGCCCCTCAACCACTCCGCTTCGCGCCTCAGCCCTTGAGAGACCCCAGCTAGCAGGGCGGCATCATCCTCTCCCGCTGCGCACCCTTGGCTGTTGCTGCTTCCTCCTCAAATAACCTCAGCTTGGAGCCGTCGCTGCCGCAGCCGCCTCGCCTGCCCTCTCAGCTGCCGCTACCGCCACCTGCTTCCCAGTCCTCAGGACCCCGCTTCCTACTTCTCAGCCGCTCCCGCCGCTTGCTCGGGCCCCTGCATCCTCAGCTGCCGGCCCCGCCGCCTGCTCACGACCTGGCCCTGAAGAACTCGTAGTCCGGCACCCGCAGCCGCACCTCCTCCGCGCCATGCTGCCCCAGCACCCGCAGCCCCACGCCGCGAGCCAGCCGGTCCGCGGTGCTCTGTGGGAGAGGGAGGGAAGGAGGAGAGAGTCGGGCATGTGCGCATAGGAGCAGAGCACGTGTTGCCTTGATACATGCTGTTTTTGAGCTGCAAGAGGTGTTGGTAACGGTGCGCTAACGCAAAAAGCAAGAGCCTACATGCACTGAGGCCACAAGCGGGCGACAGTACATGACGTAAGCCGCAACCAAGCTGGCCTTTCCTGCCCTCATCGTAACATCCCAATCTGAACTTCACCACTGAAGGTTGCTTACGCAACCTGGGGTCCCTCCACCCACCCACTCCCACTATCCCATTCCCTTCTTCCCACCTGCAGGTTGTGCAGCAGGTGCTGGTACCACACGTCCGTGCCCCCCACCCGCCCTCCGCCGCCTCCGCCTCCCCTGCTGACTGGCGGCACACGCGGGGAACTGCCGGAAATGCTGCCAGGCGCTGAAGCCGGCGGCTGCGGCGGCCCGCCGTGCGCCTGCAGGTGCGCCGCCGCCACCGCCGACTCGTCTAGCGGCTCCAGCCAGCGCTCACCCTGCATGTTGTACCAGTTGAGGCCAACCACCTGCGGGAAAGGGGCAAGTGAGGTGGGATTTCGTCAGCAGGGGTTTACGTAACAAGGGAATGAGGTGAGAAGGCGTATGACAATAGGTGAAAGTGTCAAGCTAGCGGGCTGGATACGGCTGTTAATGTGGGTAATGCTTAGCGACCTATAGTGCAGTGATGTGATGCTCCATGGTGCGGGCATAGCGCAGTGGATCCCTTCCAGAGAAGGCGCCTAAGCCACGTGCCATGAATCAAGGCGACGACAAAAAAGCTCTCACCGGCAGCGATAGCAAGCAGCACGGTGCCACCTGGCCCATCGCCAGCCGCTCATGCACATTGCGCATGGACTCCACCAGCGGCGCGAACGAGTGGAACGTCAGGAAGCGCGCATACAGCGGCGCATCGGGGATGCGGTACACGGGGTACCATGCCACCGCGAACCAGCTGGCGGGGTGCACATCCAGGAGCCTCATGTCGTACAGCAGCCGGGACCCGGTTGCGGTAGTGCTGTTGCCAGTGGCGCTACCGCCGCTGCTGGTGGTGGTGCTATCGCTGCTGCCACCAACGCTAGGTGGACCGCCGTCGGGTTGGCTGGTGCTGCTGCCGCCACCGCTGCTGCTGTTCGCCGCAACGCCGGCGCTAGCAGCCGTCGCCGCGGGAACTGCAGGAGCAGCACCGTCCTTGGCCGCTGATAGTTCTTGCGACGTTGTGGTTATCTCCGCTTCCGCCGCAGAACTGGTGCTTGCAGGGGCTCCGGATGCCGCCGACTCCGTGTCAGCTGCTGTTGGCGCTGCCAAAGGTGTCGCGGCAGCGTCCGAAGCGGCCGTCTCACTCGTAGCAGCTGCTTCCGCCTCTGATGACGCCTCATCTGCAGGCTGATTGCCGGAGCTCGGCTCCCCATCCGATGCAAAGGCTGCGGACTCGCCATCGCCTTGCTCCGAAATCCGAGCTGAGCCGGTACAGCTTGCTACCGGATCATTGGCAGCGGCATCAACTGCAGTGGCGGGGGACACCGGCTCCGTCTTGGATGCAGCGTCCGCCGGGCGTTCTGACGTTGCTGCGGCGGCGCTGTTAGCAGCGGCTGCGGTAGCCGCACCTCCGGCAGACTGACCCCGGGAAGCGGCAGCAGCACCAGCAACGGGAGTGGCGGCAGCAGCTGAGCGGCTACCTGCTCCCGCAGCGTACCCTGCCGAAGAAGCGCCCCCTCCTGAAGTCGTCCCGCCGCCGCCGCCACCGCCGGCGGCGGCCGCAGCCGCAGCGGCGGCCATGGTACCCGACAAGTGCTCGATTTGGTCGTACAGAGGCAAGCGGTTGAAGGGCAGCTCATGCTCGAAGTACTCGAACTTGAGGTGCATGTGCTTGGGCCAGCCCTGATTGTCCTCGGACACGTACAGGCGGTTGGTGCCGCCCACGTCGGTGGGCAGTGCGCGTGTGAAGATCTGGATGGCTGACAGGTACGGCACGAAGTAGGAGTTGGAGGCGCCCCGGTGACCGCCTAGCGTGAAGACCTCCCTGCAAACAGGTAAGGAGGTGGCAATAAGACGGAGGCAGAGCAGGGTTAGCGGCCGTTGATTGGCTGAAAGCAATTATGATGATGGTGAAAGCATGTCCTTGTCTTTTCACCGTTGATATCCCAGCGCACAACTTCAGCCCTTCAAGCATTGAATATGCACGCTCGCGTAGCTGTTCTCAAAAGCTGTTCGCACTAAGGAAAAGGTTATCGTACAAGCTGCATAGCACCTCACGCACCTGCCGTACAAGCTGGGCTCAAAGTAGAAGTTCCACAGGTCCCGCAGACGCAGCTCCTGAAGCGCTTGCTGCGGCGGCTTGGCGGGGTCAATGGCAATGACCGGTTCGATCTGCGATATGAAGCGGTCGAGGTCGCAGGAGCCCTTGGGGTCCGGCAACGGCAGCGCATCAGGCGGCGGCACGGGGTCGGCTGGGTGCGCGTGTCGCGAGTAGCTACCGCCTCCATGCGCGGGCGGCCCGCGAGATGACGGGCGGCTGCTCTCAGCCGAGCCCGCATGCCCCGCATCGTACCGCCCGCCACGAGAAGCGTAGCCATGCGACCCAGCTCCATGCCGCTGGCCTCCGCCGGTGTTGCCGTACGACCGGTTGCCATACTGTCCGCTACCCGACATCGTACCGGAAGCATGTCCCACGCCGCTACTGCCGCCGCCTCCGGCGTTGTTGGACCCTGCGCCACCACCGACGCCGTTATAGCTCGTGCGACCCCGGTAGGATGAGGTTGACCGTCCGCCACCCTCCCGAGGCGCGCCGTGCCCACCGCTGCCACCACCACCGCCGCCGCCGTGTGCCGCAGCCAGCATGTTGCCTTGGCTCTGGACGCGGTGCTGCTGACCCATGGGTCGGTCTAAAAGCGCCGGCGCGACTGCAGACGTAGGCTCGCTACGCACGGATGACGCACTGCCCGTCTCCCAAGACGACGGCCCCGCAGAGTCGCCAGCTGAGGCTACCGGCGACTGAGCCACCATGGGCGTTGGAGCATTAATAGGAGCAGGCATGGTCGGCTGGGCTGAGGCGACGGAAGACGCGGACGCAGCGGAGGGGTGTGGCTGGGGTTCAACCGCAGCTGCGGATGGCGAATCCGCTGCTGCAGCTTGAGCCGGCTGCAACGACGCAGCTGTAGTAGCCACCGCGGCTGGTGCTGCCTGAGCAGTGAAAGAGGAGCCTGATGACGACTCGACCGGCAGCGTCGGCGACGCCACTGCAGCTCCGTGCGACTCGCTATGTCCCATATGGACGTGCGCAAGGCCCTGCAGCAGCAACTGCTGCTGCTGCTGGTGATGCTGTTGCTGCTGCTGAGCCACTGCCTGCTGCAACATGTGCTGTTGGAGAACATGCTGCTGCACTGCAGCATGGTGCATGAGCTGCTGTTGCTGCTGCTGTTGCTGCACTTGCAGGTGCGGCTGCGGGGGCGCTGCCGCGAGTTGCTGGTGCGGATGGTGGTGGTGTTGCTGCCATCCGTACATATGTTGGCTCGACAACAGTCCCTGCAGCTGCTGGTGCTGCTGATGTAGCTGCAGCTGCAGAGGCCCGTTTTGCTGCGCCATTAGCAGTTGCTGCAACAGCGCCGCAGCCTCCAGGCCATTGGGATAGGTGTGCGGTTGCCCTGCGGGTTGGGCGTGCACCGGCGGTGAGTTGCTCAGTTGACCCTGTCCGGCAGGCGAAAAGACGCCTAGATAGGGCGACAGCAGCTGCTGCGCCACATGCGTTGTGTCCAGCGGAACCTCCCCGTTACGCAGCTTACCGTTGGGTATTGCGTGGGCATGGCCCATGTGGTGATGCGGCGGCAGGTGCGGCATCTGTGACATGTGGGATGGGGCTGAGGCGGCCGCCTGGTGCATTTGATGGTGCTGGTCTTGCACTTGCCCAGAGCCCTTCACGTGCGGCTGCGGCCACGGAGCTCCGTTGGGGTACTGCCGCTGCGACGGGGGCGGCGGTGGTGGTGGAGGCGGCGGCGGCGCAGTGGATGAAGGCAGGGGTTGCAAGAATGCCACCCCAGAGCCGTTGCAAGCGCCCGTAGCTGCCTCTGCTCTATGGGAGGCAGAGGGCAGCTGCTGTGCGTGCTTTGTTGGGAGCTCCAGGGCCGCGCCGCAATTAGATGCTGCCGCTAAAGCAGCACCCACCGACGACGGGGACGACTGTTGTTCCGCTCCAGCACTCTCAGCCGCAGGTACCGCAACGGCTGCCGCACGTGTTGACCCACATGCAATCGCTGCTGGCACTGATGACGAAGGCTTACCGCCCCTGCTTGCGGAGCTGCCACGATCAGACGCATCAACGGCGGCAGGAACGCCAGCCTCCGTGCCGCAACATCCACTCTTGCACATGGATGTCACCTCATCGCCGCCGCAAGAGGTGCGCTCCCGTATCGCAACGGCCACCTCCACTGCCCCTGATCCCGCCGACCCGGGCGACAGCAGGAAGTCCGACTGCGCTGGCTCCCCGGGAGAAGCCGGCCCTGGTATCAACTTCACCGTAGGCTTGGCTTCTGAGATTGGGCTTCCCCCCACATGACGCTCCTCCGGCGCTACCACCACCTGAGCCTCGCACTTGCTGTCCCCTTCCCCACGGCGAGACTGGGAGCCCGTATCCCGATCGCTCAGGCTGCCGGCAGGCACGTCACACAAGGCCCCGCGCACCATGACCTGCGGCTGCTGCTCAAGCGCAACCGGTGTACTGCCCTCCGCTACTTCCGACCGGCGCCTTCCTGACTGCGGCTCTGACCCTCTTGTAGCTGGCAAACCGACCGCCGGACAGATTTCCCCTCCGTGCTCGGCAATGCTACCGCTGATGCCCTCACTGGACTGCGGGTCGCATCCTCCGAAACTGCCGGTACCGCGACTTGCCGCATCGCCCATATGCGCGCCACCTGCGTAGGCACCAAGGTTAAAGCCTAGATCCAACATACCTCGTACGTAACACACGCGCGCGGCCTGCTAATAGATCGGCAGCCCAGTTGAACGGTGTACAATACCCTCGTGCACAAGGTGTAACTTACCCGAGTCCATCTGCTTAACCCCTGCAGAAGACGGTGCATCACACTCCGGAGCCGCGGGGCTGCCCATAGCCGCAGCAGCCGATGCCGCCTCTTGAGAGCCTGCCCCCATGTTTGCCGTATACCCACCAGCAGCACCCGATGAAGATGCCTTTCCTTGCCGCAGCTGCGATGAGGAATGCTGGTCATCCGCTGCACTCTTTACTCTCCCGCTAGTTGTTTGCTGGTGTCCGCTGTGACCTTGCGGCACCGGCTGCGTCGTAGACGCACTGGCCATAGCTACACAGCCTGGGTTGCCCGAGTCGAAGCTGCTGACCGTGACCTCTGCTCTGTTGTGATCAGCTGGGCCTCCCTTGTCATCAACGGGCTCCTGGGGAATGACCAGCAGCTTCAGGATGACGCGCTGCAGCCACGGAAGCTCCGATGCGGTGTTGAATGTCAGCGCTAACGAAGACGCTTCCCACTCTGGACCTGTAAGTCCGGTGTAAGACATTATTGATAATTGCCCATACTACATTGGAAGCTAAGGAATTGGTTCGGCTGTTAAGAAGTCCTGGCCAACCAACCAAGGCACGATGAAGTCTTCCCAACGGAGGTCGGGCAAACAGGCCAGCACCAAGCCTTCAAGCCGATGCCCTACCTGTCTCTATTGTATATTCCGCTTCACTGCGTGCAAGCGGATGCCGGTTCGGGCTGTCCTTGCCTTCTCCCTGAGCGTACCGCCGCTGCGACTCCTGAATGTATTTGATCCGCTGTTGATGCTGATTTACTGCCGCTGCCGTTTTGCTCCCAGACCACTCGTGCTGCCCGGGTAAGGCAAGCGTTCCGCCCGGCCTGCCCACAAGGATCGCAGATACAGAGAAGACCGAAGTGCTGCGGTAACGGGCGTCCAGAGGAATTCGCAGGTGCTGCTGTGGTCCTAGCTTCCGGTCAGATGACGTGGGCTGCCAGTAATCGTAGACGAGCGATACAAGCGCAACCGGAGAGAGCTCCTCTGGTGAATCTACAATTACCCTAGGTTTCACCAAACGCCCAAGCGCACGCGAATCCTGGAAGATGACAGCCTGGATCGGCAGTAAGCACCATCAGGCGTTAAAATGCCTAGCCCGAAAGCCGCGGATATGAAGATGCGCCATCTTACCTGGACTGCCTGCAAGGCCGCGCTCAATGGATTCTGCTCACAGCAGGTGACAGCTATGGGAGCGTAAGGACTAAATACCAAGCGCTGCTGCTCCGGAGGACGCTGCAGCCCTGGCGTGGCTACGTCACACTCCTCTTCCCCCCGAGTGCAAAGGACCTGGAGGCACGAAAAAAGCCTTTAGAATGGACTATGGCAGGTTGCCTGCGCCTACGGATTGGCCTACGCAAGTACCTCAGATACTAGGCCTCGCAAGGTTCGTTTGGAGAGCAAAGCCATGCCTGGTGCACCATTTCGCAAGTGTTTTGGTTTTTGGTAAGTCTATAGTAAGGTCTGCGTTTCTGTCAGTAAAGACTCGCCACCGTTCTTGTCGATCTTTGGCATGCGCCACCGCACGCAATGCCAAGTACTGCTGCCTGTCCGCATCAATTCTAAGAAGCCATCCAAAGCTTATGTTCTGCTGCTTACAGTACCAGTGGCTACTAACGCGAAGGAGCCCAGGCACGTAAATTCACTCTCTACGACCCACAGTTGCTTTGACTGCCGGTACTGTCTGCCAGCTGCAAACCACGCCTTGCGTAAACCTGTATTTATGATAGCTGCCACTTGGTCTGGTTGAAATGGAAGGAGCTTGGTCCTGCCTTAGACTGGAACATGTCGCATGTAGGTGCAGATCAAAGTACTCCCCAGGAGGTAGCCGCCTTCCATCATCGCCTTTGCGCTGCTTGCGTTGGGAAGCAGGCATTGGGTTGTTGGGACGAGCACATGATACCAGAGGTCCAGCCGCTGCATTTGCTGGGGTACCGCAGCTCATTGAGGCACAGCAACTCCCAAGAGCAGAGGACAAGCATATTCACCGTCAAACCCTCAATGATGGGGCAATGTTCCTATCTTTCACCCGTTCGAATGTCCACACTTTGGAGCTCGACATGGCAGGTGAGCTTCATTGCTCTCTCCCTCCCGTCGGCCCCCAACGACAACAATTTCTTCACCGCCCACTCAGCACGAGTATGGCATATGAGCGTTTCCAAAGATCGAACACCACATAGCTGTGTCCTGAGCTCCTGACCCGAGGCACTCCATGATAACGGTAACCCATATACCTATCTGTGCTCATCCCAACTCACCTTTTGGGTGTTGGGTGACGCTGAATGAACCCAGACGCCTATCGCCCCACGCTGGAGACCCCTTTCATTACTCGTCTTACTTTTGCACAGAAACTGGATATGGACTGGATGCAAGCAGAGGCACATTTTATCCGGTTTACTGTCAGGTGCCGTACACCACGAGGCACTGTATTGTACGGCACAAGAGGGGCAATGTAGTGCCCTTCTAGATGCTTGATGTACTGTTACGTTTTACGAGGGTTAGGTGCACGGGTTCCTCCCTCGCACGAGGGGGACCTCACCATGTTACGATCGAGGCATGCAGCTTCAAGTGCACATGCTGACAGATGTCACGTGAACGAACGAACGAACTCCGAGTCACGCGAACGAACTCCTAGTGCGTAATGGCTCCACGTCACACCATGCCTGTAAGGATACGGAGCAAAGCTTATGCAAGGTATGACGGCTAGCTGGGGGCCGATTGCAAGCTTTACGCCAGCAGGTCTGGTGTGTGTGTGGGGGGGGGGGGACGCGCGGCCGACCTGAGGGGTTACGAACTACGGCAGCTGGCGGCTAAAGGTGGGTTTAGGGTAGAAGGGAAGGGAGGGGAGTTCGGGTGCGGGACAATGCTGGTGGCCTTGGGTGGAGATGAGGAGTGGAAGGGAAACATGCAGGGAAGCGGTGTGGCGGGCATGGGGTGTGGCGCTTGGGTAACACCTGGCTGGCTAAGGAGGCAGGAGGGCAGTTGGTGGCGCCCGGATGATCCCTGGTTGCATGCCCTCTCGGGTGAATGAGGGAGCAAAGAAGGGGGAGGGCAGGGCCGCGTGCCCCGAGACCATAAGGGTGGCGCTCGGGTGACTCCAGGGGGTGTGTATGGAAGATGCGGGCGAAAGGGGCGAACGGCGGCGCATGCAATTGCTAGCTAGGGGTATGGATCAGGGGCACAGGCCTGTACGGGTTCGGGGCCGCTTGCCTGCCCTCTCGAGTCGTAAGCAGGCAGGTGAAAGTGCCGCTCGCCCGCCGTCTCGTGATTATGAGGGAGCAAATGTGTGGAGGGCGAGACTGCATGCCCTCTGAGAGCACACGGAGATTAAAGGGAGGTCATACCGGTAAGAATTTATGGGGCAGCAAGGGTACGCGTGGCTGAATGTCTGGACGGCGGGTCGGGTTGGAGAGCTAGGCGGCAGTGCAGGTGGGGGCTCGTAGTCGCACTGGGAGCGATGCGGTGTGTTAAAATAACTGGCCGCGAGGTGGAACGTACTGTGATTGCCGAAAGGTGAAGTCCTCCCACCGGCTTCCCGATTGCTTTCGGTGAGTGTCCCTTGCAAGCTGCGGCTGCTGTCCACGAAGGCTTGGCGGCTTGCGGGTTCAACTCCCTCGGGGACAGACGGGGATTCAACCCAGTGTCGGTGTGGACATGGAGGGGCAGGCGCCCTGGCACCAGCAGCAACCAGCAGAGGTCACCGTACACCATTGCAGCAGCAGACGAAGAAGGGCAAGACAAGGAAGGGCCGGCAGAATGGAGGGGTTGCCCCCGGGAGCCAATTGGTGCCGCAGCCAGCGTCATCTTTGCCGCTAGATGCGGCGGCGGCAGTGGGGGCGGCGTGTGGGGGCAGGAAAGGCAATGACGCAGCGGAAGTGAGCACGAGCAATGCAGGGGCCCCGGAGGTGCAGGACGCCCCTACTCCCACCCCACCGCGAGCAGGAGTCCGAACTGGGATTGTAATCCGCATTCACAACGGGGCAAGTATGGTATGTTCCGACCCGCGACCTGTTCTGTACCTGTAAGCACTAGTAAGCATTGGGAAAGGAGATGGAGGGACAGTAGGGCAGGGGGGGAAGGAGGAGGAGAGCGAGGGCGACGCAATCTGAGAGAAGGGAAAAGTGCTATGCGGCGTGGAGTGTCGGTAGCATGTGTGCGGGGGGCTCCTGGCGCAACACGTCCGGGAGACATGATGGGGATTGAACTGTGGGGGTGTGAAGTGGTGTTTGCATGCTACTTGGATCTGCTTAAGGGAGGTTACCAAGGTGCCTGATATGACCCCATATGAGGGAAATCCAGGGGCCGTTGAGAGGACGCACTTCAAGCTTTAGGCGTTCCGATCGGCGCATGGGGCTGGGCGGCATGCAACGCCTGGCAGGAGCACACGGCATCCCAGCGGGCAATGGTGCGAGTATCCACAGGAACCCATGCTAAGTAGAGAGTCCGTACGACAGTGCTGCCGTACGGACTCTCTACTTAGCATGGGTTTCTGTGGATACTTGCGCGAAGGCTCTTCGCGGAGGGACGCACTGCGCGTTGCCCTTTCCTGGCAATGGGACATACTCCTAAGCTTATGAACCGGACAGTGCTCTGAACAACTTAGTTATAACCTCCTGTGCTCAGACCAGGTTGTGACACATCATACTACACAACTCAGTTTGTATGTAGTAAGCAAGGCTCGTGCGTTGGAGGCGGTTATTTCGTATGGATGGTCGCTTCCAGACGTTTTGCCGATGTAACTTCTCGACGACATGTGTCCCTACCCGACCGCCTGATATAAAGCAGTTGTGTTCGAGCCCTGTTCATGAGCCCCGGCTTTACTGTACATGACTGGTGGCGATACTTTCGCTGCGCCACGGGCACCAAAACTGCACGCTTTCAACTGCTAGACATTGTTGCTAGCGGTGCATCCGCTGGTAAGCCTGGTGCCACAATGTAGGTGTCTAGTAGGTATTCTTCAGTGAGCGCTTCCTACTGAAGAATATCTACCAAAGTAGGTATTTCGCTACTTACTTTGCTTTTCGTACCGGTACGACCTACACCGACGGCCATTCGCCTTGAAGCGGAAGCCGCGAGCTCTTCAAGGCTTAAAGCAGATGAAACAATTAACCTATACAATACGTACATCCTGCATTATAAATCTAGTAACAACAACTGCCAAGCACTTGAAGATGTCAGGATGCGATGGCTTCTTCGTCCGAAGTTTCGAGGTAAGGCGTCTATAGACGTTAAAGATCTAGGTGTTGTGAGAACATAATAGCATCATCGATGCCCTTTTCTTGCACTTACAGACCTCTTGCCAACGCGCCACGGGTGACTCATGGAAAAACCAAATCTCCAACTCCATTAACATCGACTTGCATTGACACTAGTCATTGCTCTCCAACTGGTAAGCTCGCTCTCGCATAGGTTTTTTGACTCTGCAATTGGTCCATGGATGGCCGTGCTCACGCTTCGTTCCTTTGACACATGCAGGTCTGCAAATGTATGTGTGGGCTTCTCGAATTCTCTAAATGTTTGTAGCTTTGCTGGCGGTTAAATGTTACGGAGGTGAGGCTTTTCCATCGAAATTCCCCTTCTGGTATAAGTGCGTCCCTAAAGCTCGGGCAGGATGTTACAAAGTAGAAAAGCTAATGCATTCAACAGGCCTTGACGTGCTTGCTTACGTTAGCAACTGCGCGTTTTGACACAATGCTCGCTCGGCAATTCCCCATTTCCCACTACGTACCCACCGTTCCTCGCAGCCTCTAATTACCGCCAACGTATGATTGCTCTTTGAATGCAGGTCACAGCACGCACGGATCATACAGCTGCGTTTCGTGTGCCCGAGCTCGTGCGTCGACTGCGGTAGAAACAAGACTGCGAGCATAACCGAGGCCAAAACCTGAGCTGAAACGTCCTACGCGGCGTTCTTAACCTGCGTCCGCACGCTTAAAATTCCAGGCAAGTTGGATCCATGGGTTAGTACCTGGGAACCGTGACGTAAGGGAGGACCAGTGAATGGGTTTCACGCACAAGGCCTGACCAGCCTAATGGGAAGACCGAGGGGATTCGAATGTTATGCGAATGGGGAACACGGCGAGCTTAATGCGAACAGGGTGTGCTTGAGTGGCCTAACCAACACATGGGAAGACTGAGGGGAACTGCGAATGGTGCCTGCCCGCATGGGCTGCTATGTGAATGGGAACACGGCGAGATCAATGCGAATGGGGTGTGCTTGCGTGGCCTAACCAACACATGGGAAGAACGAGAGGAACTGCGAGTGGTGCCTGCCCGCATGGGCTGCTATGCGAATGGGAACACGGAGAGATCAATGCGAACGGGGTGTGCTTGAGTGGCCTGACCAACACATGGGAAGACTGAGGGGAACTGCGAATGGTGCCTGCCCGCATGGGCTGCTATGTGAATGGGAACACGGCGAGATCAATGCGAATGGGGTGTGCTTGCGTGGCCTGACCAACACATGGGAAGACCGAGAGGAACTGCGAATGGTGCCTGCCC